CTCTGATTGATTTGATCAAGCTTTTTCTTTTTTAAGTGGCCAATTGCTGAAGTCTTGTCATTTTAATGACTTGGCAGCAATGAAGAAGATGTTATTGGATTTCGTTTTGGATAGTGTACATTTAACAGCCTTGTTACCAACATTAACTGCCCCATCTTTGATATGCGGCGATAGGCGATGTAGGTGAACAAGTAGACGTGTTGAGGCAGGTATGCAGATATGTGGAAGGGCTGTGATCGTGTGTGTGTGTGTGTGTGTGTGTGTGTGTGTGACGGAGAGACAAAACTGTTCTTCGATATCTTTCTGAATTCTAATGTGATTGGTAACTTTTAAAACCTTTAAACAAAACAGAAATCTGAAAATGACCTGCTTAGACAAAGGGCATGTCATTGAGTTTGTGGGTGAGGGAGGTTTGTATAGTGGACCAAACACTAAAAAGAAACTGCATGAACTGTGTGTGCGTGTGTGAGAGTGTGTGTGTGAGAGAGAAAGACGAACCCTGTTCTCTTTCAGCCAATTCCAACCATCAGTAACCCAATTTAGTCTGGGTCATTTAGCCAATAGGACATACACCCACACACACACACACACACACACACACACACGCATGCAGAATCAAGGTTGTCGGGGTGCTCTGACTTTTAATACAGGAGATTGTTTGTGAAAGATGATCAACTGCCTGTTGACCCACACAGCTTTGTAACCACAGTGAAATATCTTCATATTTCCAAGTATACTCGAGTAAACTCACCAGTACTTACTCTACACAGGAAACCTCTAAGTTTCCTGTGTTTGGTAAGTTGCTTGCATAATGGCGTTTTTTTTTATCTGTGTGTCAGCAACCCTGAGAGGGAGTGGCTGTTGCAGAGCAAAAGGAAGGGTATGACTGTTTACTTTTTTATTCATCCTGGTTGGAAAAAGTTTGCACATATTCAATGCATAATAAAATCTTAAAAACCAATCTTTCCAAAAACACATTAAAATTACAAATTATTATTAATAGCTCAGAGTAACATTGGGTGCAGTGGTCCACCTCTCTCTCTCTCTCTCTCTCTCTCTCTCTCTCTCTCTCTCTCTCTCTTTCTCTCATACACTGCATGTTTCATTTGAAAATATCAATAGAAGCTTAGAATGAACAAAACAACATCCAGTAGCTCTACAATGTATTGATCTCAGCATGCCTTTGTGTAGAATAGATGTTACTGCCTATACATTTTTTTTGGACGATGATTTTGCATGTCACTGTTTTTCCTAAAGCAATATCGTCAGTCAGGAAATTTCAATATCGCCCAACCGTACTCCTCAGCTTACTGTATTCCCCCTCTGCTCTCCTTTTGGCCATAACAGTGAACACAAACAGACCTCAGCCTATTTGTATTTGTCTATTAGTGCGCTTGCTTGCATGCGTGTTGACGCTTCTTATGACAGTATCACTCTCTCCCTCCCAGCAATCAGTGTGTTTTTGTTTACACTCTTTCCCCTCCTCCACGTCTCTCTCCTCGACTCTCTCAGGGCGAATGTCTTACATCAGATCACTCAGCATTTACAGCACAGCTTTTGAAGCTTAGGACTCCCACCGTGGCCAAATATAGTAAACGTGAATCCAGCAGCTGTGTGTATGTATGCGTGTCTGCATGCATGTGTTCTTTTGAGTAAATGGCTCTGGGGTAAAAACGTGTTTGTTATTGTTCCCAGCACATCGCCTGTAGACAACACTGCCAATTAAAGGGGAGGTTTTATGTGTTAAGTGCAGGAAGTATTGCTGTGTGTGGCTGCACGCTATTGGCTGCTCAGCTTTTCCCATGTTCCTTCCCTGGGGACTGTACAGCCAGCGCTCTTTACTGCCATGGCCAAATGAAAGGTAAACACAACACACCTTTGCATTTAAAACCCATACTGTGTGTGTGTGTGTGTGTGTGTGTGTGTGTGTAAGGAAGCGGCAAGCAAATTATTGAATGACACTGAGGTTTACACATGTGTGTGTGTGTGTGTTAAGCTTAATGAGAGATTAGCTCTCCAGGATGCTACCGCCTCCTCCTCTTGTTGTTGAAGCACGAGGGAAGTCATCCCTCCATCCATGCCTCCTTTCCCCCCATCCAGTCAGCATGAAAACAAAACAAAGCGTTGTATGAATGAAAGTGGGAGGGGTTGAGTGGCCTAGAAAGGCAGGCAGGCAGATAGAGAGATAGATAGTGGTGCAGGGCAGGGTGAGGCTGTGGCGGATAGGAGGGATAGAGAAGAGGACAGTGGAGTAGGAGGAGGAGGGGATGAATGAATAAGTGAGCTGACTGGCGCATGTTTGGCATAGCAGCTAGCTTGTGTAGCTCGGCGCTAGCGTGAGCAGAATGGAGAATAACGCTGCTGCAGTAGTGGTGATATGCTTCTATAGTACCCCCCACTGAGACTGCTGTGCTGGGATCAGATAGAGACATGAAAGAAAAAGGGTAAATATACCTTTTAGATTAAAATAATAATAACCGAACAGATAGAATACCAAAGTAGTGCATCATGCGTGTCTATTAATATAACAGGGGGATGTAAACAACTGTTCTTAGTGACGCCGTAATTAATGGAATTATCTATCTCTGTTTCGGGCCCAGCTCCAGCCTTAAGCTCATTGTAATTCACCCAAAGCGGCAGTCTTCCCTGGCATGCTAGCTACTTGGCTGCGTCTGCCCCCTGTCTGCCCCAGCAAGGCCAGGGTTAACCCTGGGCGTCTCTCTCCTCCCCAACATGGAAGGCCATTGAATGGCTGCCTCCCCCAGTCAGCAAACACATTGGCTGAAGCTGAGGGTGGATCTGGGGTTGGAGCGGCACTCGGGCATGGATCCTCGACTGGAGCTGGATCTGCGAGCAGTCTCAGCCCTCCCTCCTCTGTTATGTGATGCCGCGGTCACAGCATGTACACACACAGCAGACAGACGGGAGGGGGAGGGCTGGAGAAGAGCTGTGCATTTTTCTCTGTGGGTCAGAGACGACTGTGTGCAGTGTTGGGTTTACTAGCTCACAGTAAAGAAAATGCAGTGGAGCGACCCCTGCATGAACCAACCCGGAAGGTTGAAAATAATGTTTTTGTTCTCCATTAGTCATTACCCCTTTTACGCGGTTTAGACCCTCTGTCCCTTTCGTCATTGTTCTTTTCTTTAACCTCAATATCCCACCCCTCTGCTCCCCCTGCCACAACCCCGTCTGTCCTCTCTGCTTTTACTCAGGCAGTACAATGGTCAGCCATCCTGTGCAGGGGGGGGTGTCCTAGCTGTATCCTTGGCAGTGAGGGCTCATGGGATGTCCTCACAGGGGTGGCATCCCACGAAGGCTGGAATACAGTGCCCCCTTTTAAGTTAACAGTATGATGCACTTTAAACATTCTTTTTTCCAATTTTGTAGCTGCCAGTGAACCAAGTCCATCTTTCTGATTTTAGGTTTGTTTATAGTAAGGACAACTCGATTATCAAAAGTTAATCAAAATACTTCAGATAATACAGAATCTTATAATAATCGTATTTGTGTTTGTAGCCTTGTAGCCTATTTGACCTAAATCTGCTTCCTGCCCTGACGCTCTCTGGTTCAGTTAACACATGATATAAAAGCTGACAATATAGTGAGAAACATGGTGAGAGACGGTGATTAACACCTGGGGTCCTGTATGATATTTAGATTTTTTTATCTTGTGGATTCCAAAGTAAATGGAGAGACAAAACACAGATTTTCTGAGGTGTGTCTATTATGTATTGCAGGTAAAGAACATCTGGCTGATGTTCTTTACCTGCCAGTGGATTCTAGACTAAAATGAACTGAACAGCCTCGGGTAACTCGTACTTATTGTTATTTCCTTTCCTGTTTGCCCCAATCAGTATGTGCAGTTGGTAAAAAGACCAGTGCCTGGTATAAGGTGAGATGTAATGAGTCTCTACTGGCCATCAGACAAGGCAATAGCAGCTTCTTTATTAGATCATTACAGGGAACAGGTCAAACCCTACTGCTAATCCAATCACAATTGACACTCAAGCTCTTTCACCAAATGCTGTTTCCCCAATAGGTCAAATGGAACCTGACATGAGCCAATGACCTATAATCTAAACCTAATAGCAATTAAGGTTGTTTCCAGGGTGCTGCAGACTATCGCTGTTGGTCATCAGGCGTGACTTGTGGACACTCGCTCTTCATGGATGCTATGGTTGCAATCAGTAGTTGTGCAGTTACATGTCCGCATGCAGATTCTGGTTGGAGTTTGTCCGATTGTGTTCCTGAATTCTAATTAGGGTTTGTCTAATAGAAAGGTTTGAGTATAACATTGCCACAGAATACAGATGGGAGGTCATGCAGTTCAGTCAGGATCTTTGTTTGTCACAATTGAGTGATGCAAATATCTGAGTCGGCAATCCACCACCCAGCAATGAAATCACTGATAATTCTGTGCTTTGTATTTTGTGTATTTTTTTCTGCGAGGGTCAAAAGTTTTTCAGTTGCCGGTTTGTACTCTCATTAAAAATGCAACAAGGAAACACAAGGCCTCGCCGAGATCACCTGTTTATAGTTCACGCAGCCGTGTTCATGTGTGTGTGTACTTCAACAGCAAACAGACATGTGGTTCCTTCGCTGCTCACAGGTCAGAGCAAACCACCGCTTGGTGACCATGTTGACCACAGGGCTTTGCTGTCTCCGCCCCTTCTTGTTTTAACGTTTTGTGAGCTGTTAAATGTTAGACAGAGTGACTGAGACAGAGACGTATCCCTGACTACATGCAAGTCCGTGCTGTTTTTATTTGGTATTTTGTTTTTATTTTACTTTGCTTCTGTGTGTATTTGTGAACTTTGGCTAAGTCCCACTGCTCTCTCACTTGTCTCCAAATGGCATCAGAACCAGGAGTTGTTACAAACACAATCTTCATGGTAATACTAGTTGGGGACAAAATAAAACATGACTGAGTTCATGTGTACGATACCTTATATTAACCACCTCCTTCCCTTTTTCCCCCCTCACCTTCTGCTTTTCCTCAGTGTGCTTGGACAACTGTAAGCATAGTGCGTGTAGCCTGCAGGGCCAGTGCTGCCATGACCAGTGCCTGGGCAGCTGTTCTGAGCCAGGTAATGCAAGTAGCTGTGTGGCCTGCAGGAACCTCCAGCATGGGAATACCTGTATGGAGAAGTGTCCTCCTGGATACTATGTCTTCAGGGGCTGGCGCTGTGTCAGCTTCTCCTTCTGCCAGGTTGGTAATAACTAAAATTCTTAAGGTGTACTTGTCTAATATTTAGCTTAAATGTGGACACGGTAAACTGCAGACGCTGGTGTGAGCATTTGTGTTTCATTTGTGTGTTTTTTGTGTGTTTTTTTAATCCAGGAGCTCCACAACCAGTGTAAACAGACTAAGATGTTGAACCAGGACCGAGACTTGGGCTGCTACGAATATGTCATCCACAACGGGGCCTGTATTCCGGAGTGTCCTTCTGGATACACCACTATCAACTCCACTACGTACGTCTGCCGCACACACACACACCCCTTTAATGCCACCATAAACACTGCTGTGTTATTGATGGTGGCCACCATTACATGATCGGAGATGTAATTGTCACCCACAACAGATCATCCCTCTGTGACAGTGGATTGTGGTCACTCAACACACTCAATAACCTTTGCACACAAGAGATGATTGTGTTTGGAAGTAGATCAAACAAAAAAGGACGGGAGTATTTTTCCACCATGGAAAGTCTCCCCTGTGGAAGGAAAAGCAGCTGGGCTGCCCGCAAAACATCACCTGCAACTCTGTTTGCCTGGTTATGAAACGTAAACAGTGCTGTTTAGCTGTTTTAAGCATTCAGCTTTTATGATTTACGAGCAAGTGCAGTGTCAATTGATAGCCTGTGAGAAAGACCACGTTCTTATGATGTGGATACCATATGAAAAACCAAATGCTGATGGCTCTAATGTCAATTAATATTGGTTTGCTATAAGTTGCACCAAATACAAAGTTGCTATATAGGCGTGAGACTACATAATGTCAAATGAAAATATGTCCTCTAATCTCAATTGCTGTAAATGAGTCCGTGGTGTTTTCACAGCCTCCATCACATTCTGCTCTCCATGATTACACAGCTGCATCCAGTCAAATCTTTCCCAAGCTGACATAAAAGAACAAAAAGTTGTCCACAACACTTTGTTAAAGTTTATTTATTTTTTACTTTTCCTATTCCAATGTTTCTAATCATGTTAAAGTGTTGATTATTTTGGAAACAGTGCACTGGGGTGAAGTAATGTGCCCAGGTCTTTATGCACCTAATAGCCAATTATTTTCCTATTGAAGGGATTATTCAATGTTCAGAACCTGAGCTCAACTCTACAGTCTGTCTGGAACCTGTTTACTTATTATGGTTGAGTGATTCCCAGGAGATTATTTCATGTTAAATAATAGCAAAATAGTAATAATGATTGTTGGTTGATTGTCAGGACTTGGTGGATGTTTTTAAACCCACTTAGGGTAACAAGCATGTACACTGACAGGGTCACTGCCGTTCATAGCTGGATGAGAAATGCTTTGGGCGTACAGATCCTCAGTAGTAGTAGTAGTAGTAGTATGAGAAGTAGTAATATAAATCAGTGTTTAATGTGGTTAAAAGTACAGAGGTGAAAGATCAGCAGTCCAAATCCCTATTATCCTTAAGCACACTCAACCGCTTATCTTATTGTAAATCCCCTCTGGATAAAAGTGTCAAAAACACTGCCTGGACCTCACCTGGTCCTGTTTAGCACACAGCTTTGTCTGCATGTGCAGCAAGCAAGGGCATGACCTTATTTAGCATTCTTACTTGAAGTAGACGGGGGTCGAGGAACATCAACTGGCTTCCTCATTTAGCGCCAGTAGCTGTTGCTAAACGAGGACACAGATTTGTTTTGAGGCCAAGCATGTGTTTTGAGACCACTCCTGTTTTCATGCTTTCACATACACAGGTGTGTGCAATGAGGATACAATGTTTTTCAGGGGAAACTTAATGCATGTAACACTCCTGTTGTTTGTTTTTGGCGAGGCAAATCTGACTAAACAGCTCTCACAGGAGTTGCCAGCTAAATAAAAGAAAAAAAAAAAAGATCATATGCCAAGTCACATACCAAGAAGTGGTAGACTTGTTTATTTAAGCTGTGACAAAATACTTTACTGAGTACGACACCACTTTTTTGTTGGTGTAAAGACAGAGAGAGAGACACATTAATGGAGTGTGGGGAAGATTGGGTGAAGAAGAAGCACTGAGAGGTGTGTTTCTCTGAGGTTGTTCTAATAAGAGCAGGTTGTGTTCTGGAGACGTCTGCATCGCTTGAAGACTTAGGTCTGCCGGATGATTGATGGTATTTGTGTGTTTCTTGTGTACCTGTGAATATACGCGTTTTTTTGCGTATACATGTGTACATGCAGGAGTGTACGTGGATTTGAGTGTTTGTGTGTGCCGAACGTGTTTGTGACTACATTAGCTCGTTCCTGCTACAGCGTTTGGTCGGGTTACTTTTTCCAGGTGCAGGCTGGGGGGGAAATGTCCACTGTGTCCAGATGGAGAGAGGTTTATATATAGAGAGAGAGAGAGAGAGAGAGAGAGAGAGAGAGAGAGAGATGTATTTATTAGGTAAATAACACACACACACACACACATACACAGAGCTTTAGTACACCCAGCGGAAATGGGAAGAACATTTCAACCAAACATTACTTTTTCCAAAATGTATCTTTTTTTGTAAGAGAGAGAGATTGACTTTCCCTTGCATGCTGCCAGCCCGCAGGGATTATCAGGTGCTTAGACAGAAAAGAACATTGCTTTAAGTCTCAGTCATACACCCCTGAGGCATGCGGCAGAATGGCATCCTCTGTGTGTGTGTGTGTGTGTGTGTGTGTTTGTTTGTGTGGTTACGTATAGATGTATGTGTGCACACATTATGTGATAAACAAAACTTTTTCTTTTCGTTGGCATTCTGACGCAGTTGCAACATCAGGGGGCCTCTGTGTGTCTGTTTTGCTGCTCTGGTTTGGTTATAGCAAGAACAAGCGTCATCACCACAGCGGCTTAGCCTGGCAGAAGCTACACCCAGACAGAGACACACACACACACACACACACGCCCAGACAGTCAGGCAGGCAACACAGATTGTACATATGAGTACACACACGCACACACACACAGTTGGCATCATGATTTTTCTGTGACGCCAATAAACAGTAAACTACCACCTGCCCTTTGCTCTCTGTACAATTCAAATGTAAGTATCTGTAATGTACTTCTGGATGTTTAGTTGCATTCGGGCTGTCCTCAACCAAAGACATTCTTAGTTGACGAACCTGTGATTTTGTCCACCAATCGCTTAGTTGATTTAAAACTGAATTTCTCCGGAAAGAATCGCACAAAAGCACCTCTTTAAATCTTGTGTTTACAATGTATCCTTCACTTGGATATATTTTCTCCCCGTCTTCGTCTGTCTCTCCAGCCGTCCCTAAAATCTACTGAATAGAGTTTGCTCATCTTTCCTGGATGCTGTGGCAGTAGTACAGCAGTGTGCGTGCGCGCGTGCGTGCGTGCGTGCACGCACTTGGTCTGGTTCCGCCAGGCCTGGGCCCAAAACCAAACCCGAGCGTCAGCTGCGGCCTCTGTTGCAGATGGTTCTAGCAGACCCTGGAGCCCGAGTCATGGAGTTCAGCCGGACAGATAAACACTGTCTCTTTAAGAGCTGCCATTGGACCCAGCCTGTCTGCCTGTGTGTCTGTGTTTTTCACTACAACGGCCCAAAACATTCTTTCATTCTACACTGCAACTAGAGCATTACTTTGGAGAATTTGAATATACGATTTTCTATGTGGGAGAAAGAATGAGGATTTTTCTCTCACTGTTGTTTTTAAGAGATCATTACAGTGTGTTTCCACTCGCCCAGCAGTCTTAGAGGGGAAACAATTATTTGGCCTCTGATTGACGTAAATTATTAAGAGTTTGATAAGATGGAAACTAGGTGAAGGCAGGTGTGTAATGGATCATTCGGCTCTCTTAGTGTGGATAGCAAAAGGCCAGACAAGGACCACGACCACACCCCCACGACTCACTGCTTCATGTCACCATGGTGAATGTCATCCATAGCATGGCCTGGCTGTTAAGGGGAAAGGTAGGGGCACAATTTTGGTGAGAGTGTGTGTGTGTGTGTGTGTGTGTGTGTGTGTGTGTGTGTGTGTGTGCTTCCTGGAAAGGGGGATTATGACAAGAGTTGCATAAACATAGAATTAACTCAGGGTGAGCTTACAAATGGCAGTGCATGCAGAGCTTGCATGGTCCCCGCAGCGAACAACAGCATCCTTTGTTAGCTGTTCCCCGGGCACAGGGGCTGCTTTGAAAAGGTGCCTGTTAATGCTGCCGTTTGATGTCATTGTCTCCTCTACTTTGAGTTTTGAAACCCTGATTGGACGGCTTCAAAATCCATTCTAGCGAACCAGTGTCACCCCCAGCCCTCTTCTGAATTGTAGATGTATTTTTCAAGAAAACAGATCATTTTGACCCAACTTTGTTGTTTTTTCAGAGCTGCCCCCTTAAAAATACATTGGGTGGGGGAAGCTATCACTCGGTGGTGTTAGGAGCGATACACTGAGGTTTGTGGAGCAGACCAACCAAAAAAGCAGCGTTTTAGTTTACGTCTAAGGCAGACCTTTGTGGTTAGGGGTGTCAGGGCTGGAAGGGGAATTAAAGGGAGGGATTATGTTCTTTCGAGAGGGCTTCAGGAAAAAAAGTGTTCATTTGTGAATGAAGCATCGGATCCCTTTTCTCCACATGGCGTGTACCCGGCTCACTAGACAAGGCCTGCCTTTTGTGAATGAATTTGCTGAAAGGCAGCACCATCAAGGCCTCATTGCACAGTATACGTGTGTGTGTGTGTGTGTGTGTGTGTGTGTGTGTGTGTGTGTGTGTGACTACGTGCACAACCACATGTTTGCAGGGAGAGAACGCCACTCAGAGAGCTGAGAGAGGGGAATGCCTGTTGGGAACTGCAGCTGGTGTTTCAGTCATGTTGTTTTTGTTATTTATGATTGTGCATTTATGTGTGTTGTATGTGCAACAGAAGTAATTGAAGCAAAGGATGATAAAGCTCTCTCCTGTATCCCCCAGTGCTAATAAAAATGAAGGAGGCTCAGATGTGGATGAGAGATTGCGTAATCCAATTCCACTGCTAAGAGCCTATGGATTCATTACGGGACTTATTAAATTAATTGAGAGAATTATACAGATTCACCTCTGAATACATCATCTCATTCATTGAATTGCAGGGCACTGTTTGATTGTCTCTCATTTGAGATGATGAGTTTGAGAAACCTTACGTTCAGTATTGTTGATATCTAGTTAATTGTACATCTTCCTCCCACTTTGGTTATTAGACCAGTCTTTTTTTATGTAGTGAAGTCAAATAAAGGATGTGCTTTTAATGAGCACGTTTGTTATATTTGCTTTATCTGGAAGGGCGGAGAACATTAGGAACGAGATGTAAAAACAAGACTGAGCAGAACACAAACTCAAACATGAAGCCAGATGGCTGCCTGCATATCAAATTCAGAATAGACTGCAGCAACTGGAATAAATGTATGTCAGTTTAATTTCTCTAAACAGATTCACCCTTGTTGTTTAGAAAATGCCACGTCATCCCCGGTCCCAGCTCATGTCACACCAGTACGTCACTGAGCATGCCTGCCTCATACCATTCATCTATGCGTCATTCCATTTCTGATATGAGCACACAGACACATTGCAGCCTCTGTAGTTTTGTGGCTTTGGAGTGTATCGTGGAACAATAATCCCTTTCTGATTAAATGCCAATAATGTTCTTGATTGTCTGTATTGATCTGCTTCAATAAGGTTCTCTGCCCAGCATATCAGTGAGTATTTACTGCATTTAAATGGCTCTATCTGTGTACATCTCACTCTCTCTCTCTCTCTCTCTCTCTCTCTCTCTCTCTCTCTCTCTCTCTCTCTCTCTCTGCAGGTTGACCTGTTTGCCATGTGCAGGACTGTGTCCTAAACTGTGTGCGGGAAACAAGTTAATTGACTCTGTAACTTCAGCCCAAGCTTTGAGAGGTTGCACTGTTCTCCACGGCAACTTGATCATCAAGATTCGAGGAGGGAGTGAGTACTACTGCACCTCACCCTCTCGAGTCTCTGGTTCTCACACTATGTCTGTCTCCTTCTCCCTCCATCGCTCAGGTTCTCAGCCAATGTTGCTCTCTTTGTTGGGACTTCTAGCCATACAGTCTGTGTATCCACCTGTACATTTCAAATGTGTGTTTGTCTGACCGTATGACCATCTGTGTCTTTTCTGCCATCACCTACTAGCTATCTGTATGACCAAATGTCCATCTCCTTGCAGATAACATTGCAGCTGAATTGGAGGCTAGTTTCGGCCAGCTTGAGGAGATCACAGGCTACCTGACTGTTCGCAGAGCCTACGCCCTGGTCTCCCTCTCCTTCCTCCGCAAACTACGTGTTATTAGAGGGGAGCATCTTGAGGGAGAGTAAGTCCCCTCTCCTCTCTTCACTTCTCCTCTCCGTTTAGATAATCACAGTGTTTAATTTCTTCACCTGTCTTCCCCCTGTCTCTCTTAGGGTCTTCGCCTTCTATGCGCTGGACAACCAAAACCTGCGTGAGCTGTGGGATTGGTCCAAGCACAACCTGACCATCCATCGCGGTCGTATGTTCTTCCACTACAACTCCAAACTTTGCATGTCTGAAATCAGAAAGATGGAGGAGGTGACGGGAACCAAGAAGCGCAACCAAAAGAATGACATTGCTGTACGCACCAACGGGGACCAAGCCTCCTGTAAGATAACCAGAACGTCAGACTTGAGATTGTCATCTGATGTTTGCCACCTTACTGATAACATTTGTATTCATGTTCTTAACCTGCTCTAGATTTCTTTGTGCCAGCAGTACAAACATGATCGTTGTTTTCTCAATCTAATATGCATAGTGTTGTGAGTAAATGAACTGCAGAGCAACTAGAACAAATCATAACAAGTGTTGGATGAAATAAAATACTGTATCTACATAGACAGCCTTCCTTCAGGGTAAACACAGAACGCACACCCTTACTCTACATGCATTTTGCAGGTTTGTTTCTAACCATAACGGCGTGATTGTCTATACCTCAAAAGCAGAAGCGGTGGGGTGTTTGATGTTCTACTGCTGAGCATTGTCTGTTTCACCCCTTAGGTGAGACCAAGCTGCTGAAATTCACCATGATCAAGACCGCATCAACTATGATTATGTTGAAGTGGGAACCCTTTTGGCCTTTAGACTTCAGAGACTTGCTGGGCTTTATGGTTCTCTATAAAGAGGCGTAAGTACCCGATCAAAATCCCTGGATCATACCATGGCACATCACAGTAGGTCCTGTTTTAACTGGTTTTTCCTCTGACATCAATGATGGAACATCCTATGCTTTTCAGTAGCTTTAAATTAGCTGAAACTAGGATTTGCTCGGGTGTTCCTCAGGGTCAATTCTTGGATCTTTGCTTTTTAATTTGTACAAACACATCAGTCATATGCAGATGACGGACAGCTGTCTGCTGATGGTCTTAGTCCTATAAGCAAGCTTATAGGATCAATATAAACTACTGAATGTCATGAACTCTTTTACAGCTGATTAAAGACAAGACGGAGTTGCTAGTCAGGAAATGTACTCACACCTAGAATCACTGTCTGTGGAGTACAGAGAACACATCAGGAGTTATTTTGGACTAAGCTTTGAAAGTCATGTCAGTAACTTAACCAGTAGAAGCTAGTTCAGATTGCAGCAGTCAACGCATTACTCCAGTACATTAAAACACTTCAATTGCTGCCAGTGAAATACAGAATCAGTCAAAATGCTACTTATAGTCTTAAAAGCACTGAATTGTTTGGCTCCCCATGTTACCCGTCCTAAAATGTGCCTTATAAATACAAAGCGTGTTTCCTTAACTTGCCAAATACGCTGCATTGATGCTTCTCACTGTTAGTTTGAAGCGGTTGATCCATGTTCTCTGATCTCTGCTCCAGGCCGTATAAGAATGTGACGGAGTTTGATGGACAGGACGCATGCGGCTCTAACAGCTGGGTGATTGCTGATGTTGATCCTCCATTACGTTCCACGGATGGCAAGAAGGCGGATGATCCGGGGCACCTGATTCGACCATTGAAGCCCTGGACCCAGTACGCCATTATGGTCAAAACCCAACTATCTACATCTGATGAGCACCAGGTTCATGGAGCCAAGAGCGCCATCATCTACTTCCGTACCAATGCCTCCAGTGAGTCCCACCACTTAAAGACATACACATACAAGTATGGTTAGGTTTAGGAAAATGTGTTTTTAGAGACTTTGTACTTGGTTTTGGCCGTTAGATTTGATGGAAATTGTCACTGACTGTAGAAAATATCTGACTTCACAATTAGATGATAAATAAATTATACAGAATCACAATTTCTGGTCTTGTGTTAAAAGTACCCTGTAGAGTTTTCATACATCACCATTCCAGTCCTAACTGTTGTCTTGCTCCATCCCTCTCAGAACCCTCTGTGCCTCTGGACCCCATCTCCTCCTCCAACTCCTCCTCTCAGATCATCCTGAAGTGGAAGCCTCCCACCAATCCCAACGGCAACATCACCCACTACCGCGTCATCTGTCGTAAGCAGTCCGAGGACAGCGACCTCTACAAGTTTGACTACTGCCTACAAGGTTCGTATCCACAGGTTTGATCCGTTCAAAAGTGACTGCAAGCAAATCAACTGCTGCTCACTTCACATTTTTTGGTCCTGGCTTTCCCTCACGCCTATTTCTCCTGCCCAGGAATGAAGCTGCCGTCTCGTACCCCGACCCACCTGGACAGTGAGGATGAGCAGAAGTGGAACCACACAGACGAGCCCACCTCAGGGGGCCGGTGCTGCGACTGCCCCAAGACTGACAACCAGCTCAAGAAGGAGCAGGAGGAGATAGAGTATCGCAAGACCTTCGAGAACTACCTCCACAATGCAGTCTTTGAGAGCAGGTACACACCCCGGATTGTAATTAATAATAATAATAATAATAATAATAATAATTAAGTGTTACAATTCTTGACTTTTTGAAATGTTTTATTCCAGAGCATGTTTTCATGCACTGTACAGCGGTGAGGTCACAACTTTAATGAACTTTACGCTTGTTTACGAAGCTTTTTATACATTCAAAATTCTGCACATTTAGCGTCATACCAAATGTAGCACCACAGGAGCTTCTTGCTTTGTTAGTTGCTGTTTGCGTCTATCCAGCCAGACTCAGTCACGCCTCTTTTGTGCCAGCCACCATGATCTGTGTCTCAAAACAGCTCTGTGCCAACTCTGTCTTGTCAGTTCGTGCGTGTGGTTTATGTAGACCCTTGTTTTTGTACAGGGCACTACTGTGGGGGGGGCTCAGGGTGGGAGGTGCTGATTTTCTGGGCCACGGTGCCCCTACCCTCTCCCCTGACACACACACACACACACACACACACACACACACACAGTCTCTCCCTCCGCTGTAATTACTGTGCCCATTATCATTCATGCCAGTCAGGGGCTCAGTCATGCAGACTGCCATTTGGACACACACAAACACTCAAACTCACACACACCTCAGCTGGATTTTGAACCCATGCTGTTGAATCAGCCAAGGTCAGCTCCATACACCGTAGTACACAAAGAACTCCTCGTGCTCTCTTTTTCCATCACGCAAATGGATGCAGGAAGCTTCATATTTTTTTCTTCTGCTTGAGCGAGTGTCGGTTCAACATTAACTACGCTTCCCTGTGCAGCTTCACCGCAGCAGCTTGGGGGAGGACACTTACTGGTGGTGAATTTGGACATTTGAACGTTAATTAATTGACAGGGATTCTACCTGTCCTGACACAGAGTTGCACTGCAGGTCTTCTGTGTCTCAGTTGGTTTAAGTACATGGCCTCTGTGGTGGGCCTACACTCATAACCACTGAGAGTAATGTGGTCCTGCTCATTGGCACCTCACAGTGGTGGGGGTTGGTAGCTCTTCCACCAGGGCACTAAATGGTATTTGTGGATAAATGTCATGCAGGCAGACTTGCTACTCACTCTAAAGGTTATTGTGGGCAGAGGTCCTCACTGGCCTCGTCCACACTACTGCTCTATCTGCCAGGATCTAATTCACATGAAATGCTTCTGACTTTTGTGTTGATAATTTATCCTGACTTTTCTGGGAGCCATTCGTGTTAATAGGACTGCGTGTAGAGGCTCTGGAAAATAACACTGCCTTCTTCAGGTTTTCAGTGGCATTTCACCTAATTCACTGCTCACTGCTTTACCTGTTGCTCTGTTTGTCCAGGCCATCTCGTCGCCGGCGCTCAGTGGGAGTTGCCAACACCACCCTGCCCTCTTTCTTCCTCACCGCAGCCCCCAGTCTGGCTTTCGGCTCCACCACAGCCACCCCTGAAGACGAGGAGGGATCCAAGGTCTCACACTGTTTAGATTTTTGTACCATACAGATTTGTCATTCTCCAGCCAATGTCTGCGCTGATCGTTTTTCTGTCCCCCATCCCAGATTTCCATTTTAAAGACGCACATGTAACCTAAGAAAATCAATATTGATCGTCTTTACATGTTGCTCAAAATCAGAGTGAAAGTGGAAAGCGGTCCCCTGAGAAAAAATGTATTTCCAATTCTCTAAATGTCTTTTAACTTTATGGACCTCTAAATTACTTTCTGAATCATTGAAAGCAGATGACATATTTATGTTTTTGTCACTACTGGAAAGAAATCAAAGGAAAATCAAATTCCTTTTCAGCTCAGCCTCAGAATGGCACAGGAAGCTGCTATTCTCCATGAAATCACTGACGCTGTTGAAGTAATAACATCTCTCTCGTCTTTTCTGCTCAGGTGGAGCTAAAGGTCTTTTCAAAGGAGTCAACAGTCATCTCCAACCTGCAACACTTCACCAGTTATAAGATAGAGATCATGGCCTGCAACCATGCGGCGGACGACCTCAAGCGCTGCAGCCTGGCTACTTATGTCAGTGCTCGAACTATGCCAGAGGGTAAGAACAAGTCAAAAATCTCACTCAGGAAATGTTCATTTAATTAAGGGTAAAATTATCAGTTTTAGTTGAAAGATGTTGATTCAACTTCATGGTCATTTTGGCAACTGGCAACTGAGTATACATGCTTTTGACAGACTTACAAGAACACACACAGTGACATGACCGTACACATTTAGCATTTACCTATGTATGAAGCATAGAAAGGACCATAGGTGATCAGAATAAACTCAAAACAGTTTAAACATGCATGCATGTCACATGTGCACCCAAACAAATGTTTCTAGAGGCAATCAGAAATTGAGCAATCAGAAATTGCCAACTAGAACAATGTGAAAATGCAGTACTTTATTCTGCACACATGCTCAGTGCTTTTCTTTTAATGTCTGGTACCTACAGAGAAAGCAGACGACGTCCCAGGCATAGTGACCCATGAGATAGTGACGGCCGAGCCTCCCTACGTGTTGATCAAATGGAATTCCCCTCGCTCCCCTAACGGCCTCATTATTCTGTATGAGGTGTTCTACAGGAAGGTGGGCGACTCGGAGGTCAGTACCAACCATCCCCGAACTTTTGAGAGAGTGGTGATGCAGGGAAACAGGGCAAGGAGGCAAGAGACAAGTGCAAAATAAAACATGAATGAAAATGCAGAGAGAACCAGGACTTATCTACGTAGACTCTGGAAAGTGGAGGCAGACGTATAAACTCCACCACCGTGTGTGTGTTTGCGTGTTGTTGTACCTGTGTGTTCGTGCACAGAAGTGCTCATCTCTGACAGTGTGCTTCTGTGCGTGTGTGGGTTGTTGTTGTTGTTTACTTGCTGTAAATGTGGGAATTCATCTCTCATTGCTATTCATTGCGGCGCTGCCTGACCCTAGGAGCCAGTAGCAGCTCTGTTACCATAGTGACAGAGCCAGGAAGGAAGACTCTAATGCAGTGGATGGACTGGCATCTCAGACGACATCTCCCGCACTGCACTGAAAACACACCACTCGCTCACAGACACACGCTGCAGCCGAAACAAACCCATCACAATTTATGTAAACTGACATTTCGAGCATGTCAGGGGTTGAAATTCATTATTAGTTTTTTTTGCACAGTGGTGGCATATGGCAAGACCTTAGAGTGACTGGTTTAACTGTTTGTATTAACTGTCCTACATGCTAAAAGTTGGGAATATTCTAACACAGTTTTGCAGGTTTTCTACTTTGATATCTGTAATTCCATCAGTCAAAAAATATGTAATTTTATTTTTAAGCAAGACCAAAGTGTTATTTTTTTATTTGGATTGATGAAGTTTGTGGAGGAGCATTATTAAACATTCTTATTGGAGTCAGCCTAAGATGAATAGTTTTCATATATATTTATGCATGTAGCGATACCTCCCAGCATGCACAAGGACAACAGACCCACAGATGCACATAAGTCTCATTTTATGTGTGTTTCTGTGTTTTCATTGAAGTTAATTGTGATCCACAATGTTTACATGTCTCCCCAGTGTGAGTGCATGTGGTGGACCCAGGCTCTTCATGTTGTCTTGAGTCAGGCCTTCTACAATGATCTCATTATTACATTGAATCAAAGTTAATTTCTTTCAGCGTACCTTTCCAGTTATAATTTTGATGTTGTCTAAAGGCAACACTTTGTTTAGAAACGTCTCTCTTCACGCACGTTATACTTCGCAGCTTTGTAGTGGAATCTGTGCTCGCTGTCATTATTCCTTGTGATATCTCGGGCTGAAGTGTTCTTTTCATTTTTTCTTCCAGGTTCACACAGCTTGTGTGTCACGGCCGGCCTACCTCAAGTCAGGTGGCACAAAGCTCTCACTTGTGCAACCTGGAAACTACAGCGTGAGGGTCCGCGCCACCTCCTTGGCAGGAAATGGCTCTTTCACAGAAACCACTTATTTCTTCATGCCCAATTGTAAGACCGGAGGCTACATGTCTGACTTAACTGAACTTACATGTCGCGCGTTATTCACACGAATCTGGAAGTTCATAAACTGCTTACATAATTGTTCATACATATTATAAGATATTTAATAACCAAGGGTTATATCAGCTGTTTTGCACATCAATATTCTTTAATACAGATCTGTCTTTCATACTCTGCAATCTTCCCAGTAAACTGACCGAAGACTTCTGTGTTTGTTACAGCGGATCCAGGTTTTATTTGGATTGTGATGGGTCCGGTCATCTGTTTCATCCTGCTGCTGTTCGTGGGAGGTGGAGTCTTTGTGATCCTCAAAAAGAGGTAAGGTCTTTGACTGGCATGCATCGGGATGATCCACCATGCAGGATATATAAACTGAGCAGATTACACTATATGACGTCAAAGAGGGAATGGTGCTTATTCTGATTATGAACCTATAGTGAGACTTCAAGAAGTGGGTGTTCAACTTGAATACCTTGAGCCCAATAGCTATCAGGAGTATGTGACAGGACAAATAAACAAGACAGATTCTGCAAGAAGGGCCGAACACACTGGAGAAAGTTCACATTGTATAACAGTTCTCAGCGTCTCAGATGCTTTCTGTTGTCGTGGTACAGGCAAACAGAAGGCCCGACAGGACCTCTTATCGCCTCCTCAAACCCAGAGTACATCAGCACCAATGATGGTAAGAATAGCACTACACAACTGCTAAGAGTGGGAAGTACAACATGTTGTGCTTTCTCCTGTATTTAAAAAGCACAACATGATGATTTGTGAATGGTTGCCTCATCGAAACGGCGATTTGTGCCTTGCTTTGCGTAGTGTATGTTCCTGATGAGTGGGAGGTGCCCCGGGACAAGATCACGTTGCTCAGAGAGCTGGGTCAGGGCTCCTTCGGCATGGTGTACGAGGGTATCGCCAAGGACATCATCAAAGGAGACCCAGACACGCAAGTAGCCGTCAAGACGGTCAATGAATCGGCCAGCCTGCGCGAGAGGATCGAGTTCCTCAACGAAGCCTCCGTCATGAAGGCTTTCAACTGTCACCACGTGGTACGACCCTTCATAGTGCTTTTCAAACAGTTCCTCTCACAGTTTCATCACTGACTAACAGGCACACTGGAGCAGCTATCCGTACACGTGTGAATTACTGTATATTACAGCTTTCCATCATGTATGACTCGTATAATCATGACTCGCTAGTTGTGTTGATTCTGCCATATTGACACACAGTTTGACTCCAAAAAGAAATGTTCACACTTGGTAAGCAATTGTGCCTACCAATATATTTTCATTTAATAGCCTCCTAAGCACTAATTAAATTGCCATATGTTGTGCTGTCAGCTGTAAAAATGTTGAGATGTAGGGGGGCCATTTTCGTATTATTTACCCACAGATGAAGAGAACGTTCACATGATGGCAACAGCTTATGAATGTATTAATCTTGTCTGCCTGGTTAACAGCAGGATTGTTTCTCTTAGAGGTAAAGTAACTGAGGACACCTTACCCACACTGAAGTCAAGTACTGAAATGTTAAAATCTAACGTGTTGAATTAAAAACTTTTACTGATGGTTTGAGGGTTTTTACATCCACATTTGGTGATGAAGTGTGGGAATTGTCATTTTCATATGTAGCTCTTCATATCTAAATGAACAAAACTCTGACTTTTGATGGGTTTATTAGATATTATATACCTTTACCTCTCAACAAGAGATGAGGTGCTAGATTATTAAGTGTTTACTAGTGTCCCTAGTCAGTAAATACTGTAAGTTCACGCGTGTGTTTTTTTTTTCCTCTATATAGGTACGTCTGTTAGGCGTGGTGTCCAAAGGTCAGCCGACCCTGGTAGTGATGGAGCTGATGACCCACGGTGACCTGAAGACCTACCTGCGCGGTCTCAGGCCGGACTCTGAGGTATGCAACACAGAAATCCCATCTCATCAGGTGGAGATCGATACAGCTAAAGGATTAGCTTGGTTCTCATATTCAAACACATCACTGACTGACTTTGTAACTGTGTTTTTGTGTGTTTTTGTAGAACAACCCCACAGGCCATTCACCACCTACGCTGAAGGAGATGATCCAGATGGCTGCAGAAATTGCGGATGGCATGGCCTACCTCAATGCCAAGAAGTTTGTCCACAGAGACCTGGCCGCCAGAAACTGCATGGTGGCAGAAGACTTCACTGTCAAGATCGGAGGTACTTTTGCTTGCGTTTGTTTTCCTTTTGTTTTCCTTGTTGTTCATATTGCAGTTCATCTCGGTCAGTTGTTTGTTGTGGTTGAATTGAATCACAAATCTCTCTCACTCTCTTTCCCCCTCTCGTAGACTTTGGTATGACCCGAGACATCTATGAGACTGACTACTACCGTAAGGGAGGTAAGGGCCTGCTTCCTGTCAGGTGGATGGCTCCAGAGTCTCTGAAGGACGGAGTCTTCACTGCCCACTCTGACTGCTGGTAAGTCACAGTTCTGCAGCCGTTGTGCTGTCTTTGCAACCCTGATTACTTTGCTGGTGCCTTTTGATCACATGTGGTTGTGTGTGTGTGTCTGCAGGTCATTTGGCGTTGTGCTGTGGGAGATCAGTACGCTAGCAGAGCAGCCTTACCAGGGTTTATCCAACGAACAGGTTCTAAAGTTTGTCATGGATGGAGGATACCTGGACCGGCCGGATAACTGCCCCGAGAGGATGTGAGTGAATACAGACACGCCTTCACTGTCTTGATCCTTTAACTATATCTTGTCTGGATAATGTGACACACCATCTCAGATGTTTTAAGGTGGTTTTTGTCTTTTCTTTATAAACCTCTTGCATCAGAACACCAAATATTGTGTAAAATAGTAAATCCTTTTTCTCCCTTTTCCAGGCACAGCCTAATGCAGATGTGTTGGCAGTACAACCCCAAGATGCGGCCGTTGTTCCAAGAGATCATCGAGATGCTGCGGGAGGAGCTGCACCCGTCTTTCCAGGACTTTTCCTTCTTTTACAGCGAGGACAACAAAGTCCCCGAGACAGAGGAGTATGACCTGGACCTGGAGAACATGGAGAGCATCCCACTGGACCCGTCTTCATACTCCCAGAGAGAGGAGAGCTTAGGCAGGGACAGCGGGCCCTCGGTGGCCCTCAGGGGGAACTATGAGGAGCATGTCCCCTACACACACATGAACGGTGGCAAGAAAAACGGACGAATCTTATCGTTGCCCAGATCCAGCCCTTCCTAACATTTCCTGTTTCCTAAAAGACCTTGTTTAACCCCCCCCATCATATTTCTCTTCCAGTCCATTTCTTTCTGTATCTTTCATGTTCCTCTCATCATTTTCTAATGATTTTCGTATTCTTGGAGAAGCCCTTCAAAAACGACACAGATCTCAGGACTTTTTATTTTCTCCCTCGTGGCTGCCGCACACAGGCAAGCGAGGGACCTCAAACATGGTGTAACTCTTTTGTAACTTCCTCAACAACACATTGGACTTTCTATTACCATATCACCTATCTATTGTTTTTCACTATTGCCACGTTTCCAGGACTCCTTGTGATGGAAACAGAGAAAAAAACAAAACTGTGAACACGACAAACCTTAGACAACCAAGATGGCTGCTTATGCTCGACCTCCTCCAGACTTGTCCCTCCTCCTCTCCCCACCAATCTGCATTTCCACATTTTTGTGCTTTGTTTTTGTTTTGTTTCTCTCTCTTAAGTGAAATCTTTTTACTCGGATAGTGGCCTTTTTGTATGTGGCCTATAAACAAAGAGAAGTGTCTATCAGCGCTTGTACTAATTTCCCTTTGAACAATGACTTAATCGGTTTGGAACAGTGGGATGACTTTCAAAGACTTGATTCTAGAACAAACATCTATTCCTAGAGGAATGTTTTCTTATTTTTATTTTATTTTTTTGGTTCTGCAGAATTCCAAACTTCACACAGATTCATCGGGTGTTTGGTGAATAGTTTTAATTTATTTGCTTTTATTATCTTCTCTTCTCCTCTTCTGTTTCTCAGTTTTATGTCTGTGTCCTCACTATATGGCTGAAGGATATTTAAACAGTTAAGAATTTGACAAAAGAGTTCCTCAGACTGACCAATAGCTGCTGCTTTGATATATTTTAGTGGGTATATAAATATATAAATATATATAATATATATAGTATATATGGAATATTGGTATTTATATACCAGTATTTCATATATAATATATGGCATATTGATGTTTTTGTAAATAGTTCATATTTGTAATATTTTCATCAGAAGCTTTGCTAGTATTTTGTTTTGCCAGGTTTTTTCTTTCTGGGTTTTTTAATTTTCTTATTTTTATAGCCCAAGAAATCACACTAATCTACCATCAGTGCTCTCTGTGTCTTAGGCCTCCAGTCCCTCTTGAGTTCTCTCTGTTCGCGTGGATGGGAAAGGAGAAGGCCCACGAAATATTGTCAACTCACTGCATCATTTTGGGGTTTTTTTAAAACCGTGTTCCCTCTGAGAGCTGAGGAGGAAACTTTGTTGCAGCAATGGAAAAAATACGAAATAACCAAAAAAAAAAAAGCTTTATAAAAGGGGGGTATGAGGTCTTTCTAGGTGGAAGTGCACCTGATGTTTGTTTGTCTCTGTGTCTGCTGTGTCTCTCTGGTCAGATCACGCTGGAGCTGAGGTCTTTATGCGCTTGTTATCACAGGTTCATCACGTCTTTCACGTTGTCCAGGTCGACGTTAACTGTCGGTGAGGTTAGAGAGCGTGGAGAGCTCGTCCTTTGCCTGGTGACTGCACTTCCTTGTGTTGGCGTAACAGTGATGGCTTTTCAGTTGACTGGTGTGGGTGCTGCTTGGATCAGGGCGGGATGGGGAATTAACAGCAGCTCTCAGCCAAATGCAGGTGAAGTGAAACAATGAGGCCCTTTTTTTTCTAACCATCTGTTCTATGACTTGCAGTAAACGCCCTCATTGTTTAAATCGTACAGCAGTAGCCTTCACATCTCACCTGGGATCTGGTTCAGTTCAGGACCTCAGTGTTAGATGGAAGGTTCTATTCATTTCACACATTATCTTCACCTCTCATTGTTCGTGCTCGTTTTGCTCTGCACCACACACACACACACACCTCCTGCACACTCTCCCTCCTCAGTCTTCCCGAGGCTTCCTATTGGCTGCTGAACTCACTGCTCAAAATCAGGCTATTGGAAATTTCCACGTTTTGTGGTCGAGGGGCTGGAGAGGAATACGGAAAGTTCCAACTGTGTTCAGAGTGCACAGCAGGTAGTGGAGAGAGGGGCAGCCTCTCTATCTCTCTGAGAGAGAGCGAGTGTGTGAGTGATTGTTAATCCTATTATTGTCTCTGCTATCACATGCAGTCGGGCTGTCGGGACACGGTGTGCAGCAGCTATTTCACTCAGGTCTGACATTCCAGGATTTAGTTGGAGCTGCTCGTTCCCTCGTTGCCCCCCCCCCCCCCCGGTTTTGCCTGTCTGCAAAGCTGTTACCATCGCCACACCCCACCAGATTCAGAGCACACACATGAAAGACTTTGTTTTTCCTTCTTAATAATCGAATATCTGAAGTTTGTCCCTCTTTCCTGGAATCAAAAACATTCCTGTCTACCGTACCCTTACTCAGAGCTGCGGAAGGATGAGTTGCTGATCCCTCATCAAGATCATTCATTTACTACGACCTGTATTCGGAGCCCGAAGGCCGTCTGAGTTTTAGATCCTCCATAATCGCTCCTCTCTCACTCTCTATCCGCAGCAGTCGATGGTTTGGGAGGGGATAGTCGGCAGACTTTTTATTTTTCTGGACACAACGACCAGTGTTGCTGCCAATCTAGCCGAACAGCATTCAGCACTTATAGTATAGCCAAAGTGTTGGCAGCTTTCTGTCAACAATGAGAACCCACAGAATCAGAGTCAGAGAAAGCAGAGACGCTGCCTCCATGTTTTACCAGTGCCTTCTCAAACCCAGAGCCACATCCAGGCTAGTTATATCGGCTAGTAACACACACACACACACACACACACACACACAGGCCTCTGTGCTCTCTGCATTTCTTCTCACGAGGCAGGCGAGGCAGAGAAATTTCAAAGCTGCATTTACATTTGTGTTTGTAGGGTTGCAACTTTGTTCTTTGCTGGAAGAGAAGTAGAAGTCTTTGGGGCGGTTTTATTTTTAGATTTTGTATTGTTGGTTTTAGCTTGTTGCCAGCGTGTAAAGGTCTGAACACTAATGTTCACCTCGTGCTTTAGCGGTGACACTGTGGATCGGCCAGAGTCTGTGCTGTTGCGCACTCGTAGGTGCCCGAGGTTAGGATGTAGATTTTAGCAAATTATTCTGAGGAGTTACAATCTTGGGCTTTTGTACTTTGTAAATAATCTGTGACATAGTTTGGAAATAAAAGCAGAAAAAAGATATATAAAAAAAAAAAGAAAAATCTGATGCCCGTCAGTTTTGCGTACATGACAGGGAAAAAATGGTGGCCCTCAGCTGTGTCGCACTTCCACACAACACACTAATACTAAATTCTTATTTTAATTACTAGTTAGTTCATCTTTGTATACACTGCATACTCTAAATCCAGTTAGAATTAGTGTGTACGATGGAAGTGGGGCATCGCTCTCGTCTCTACCTTGACCTAGGTTGCTTATCTTGTGGTGGTGTTCACATGCATATGCAATTTTTAATTAAGATGATGCCCATATCTTTGAAATACCAGATATTTATTTTATTATGATCATTGTCATTGTATAAGAAGAACACAGTTAGCTTTTTAGTCGAGCATTTTTACAGTGTTTGAGAGTAGAGCGACGTAAAAGCCTAGTTTGTTATTGTACAGCTGGTGTAGCTGATGGTGAGCAGCAACAGTGCTCGTTAGCTAGTTAGTAAGTAAGTAATTGTCGTCGTCTTTGTGTTTGGCCAGAGTCTACCTCAGTGCATATGGAGGAATCAGTCTAAAGAGCCTAAATCATCCCCGTCAGTCTGTCAATATCCGATTATTTAAAATAATATCACTTTATCGTACATTACCAACACTGCTAATGAATTCCTTTCCCTCGTGGTGTATTGAACCCCTCTCCCTTCTTGTCGTCTACGTTTTCTCTTCTTGTGTGTCGGGGGGGGGGGGGGGGGAAGCTGTCAGTGACCCCTGCAGTATGTGGATATTTTGGCCCTTCTCTGTTTTTAAATGTCTTGATTTTGGAGTTTAGGGATAAGCGTAAGATATACAACTATTATCCCTCCCCTCATCATTTTTCACCCCGAGCACTTATTAAATGTGGAACATAAGGCAGTTAATTGGCTTAATGGACAGTCATTTTCACTGTTGCTACAGTTTATGAAGTTACTCAGAGGAGGCTTCCCCGGGAGCTGGAAGAAGCAGTGTAGCTTTATTGTGTATAGTTTGCCTTTTCGGCATTCACCAATCCTCTGGACTGTATGTAGTCGTGGCTGTACTGGTTTCGGGGGATGTGACATTATCATGAATCTCTTGGCTCTGAATGCATATCTGTGATCACCCGAGCTCAGCCCTGGACCTTCATGCTTTCTTGAAATCCCTTCTAGACTACCCTGTTGTCTGGTAGCCCTACTCTTCTTCCTCAGTCTGTCGATCTGTCTCTTGTGTTCAAATCGGTTAGCATTCAAATCCCACATCTCCTCCAGTCGTGGTCGGTTTATTTGTCTGTTTCTCTGTGCTGATTTATGTTTTGTATGTATATTTTTTCTACTGTGAATATCAAGAGATAACCTTTGTTTCCTGTCAATGCCATGGTTTGGGTCTGTTTTGGCTGATCAGGACGCTGACGTCTGTGCTGGTTAAAAAGTTTTAACGAGGAGGTACCCTCCTCTACAAAGGAAAAAGAGCTGGACTGGGACAATCCTGTGTGCCATAAGAACTATTAACATACATGAAATCTAGATTGTAACTTTTCGTCTCAGGGAGGCGGCCTGATGCATTGTGGTTGGAGGATGAAGAGGACGAGGAGGAAGAAGAGCTACCTACCTACCTTTTATCTGCTCTGAAGCGCAAGTTCACAGCATCCTTGCAAAAATCAAGATGGAGAAGATAACTCCAAGGACAAGTTTTCAACAACAAAAACCCAAACACCCTTTTCACAAATCTGAAAACCTTCTGCCCTTTTGAAGTTAATTAGGTGTCTCTCTCTCTCTCTCTCTCTCTCTCTCTCTCTCTCTCTCTCTCTCTCTCTCACACTTTCTCTCTCACACTTTCTCTCTCACACTTTCTCTCTCACTCTCTCACACACACACACACACACACACACACACATATATATATGTGGTTTGGACTGCCCTCTAGCGGCTGGATGGGAGCATTGCAGGTCAGGGGTGGCAAAGCAAACGGGCCCCGACCGCCATAGTGCCTTGCTCAGACTAAAAGCCCACCTGACCCCTCCCACCCATTCCACTCCCCTCAGAGCAGAAACGTGTCTCCACCAATCACTACAGAGGATTTTCCACGCCCCCCCCCAAAACATGAAATGAAAACACAGGAATAATGTTTGTATGCATTCTGTGTTCTTTAGTTGTAACTGCAGAGAAATTATTCTCACTGCTTGGTGGGAAAATGCTGTAATTTGTATTTCATGACGGTTGACCTCGTGTGTCTACTCTGCTAAGATCCAGCTTGCTTTGTGCAAAGAAAAATAATTGTCTTTATCAGCGGATCATTTGATGCTCACTGATTTTGCTTCTTGTCATCAGTCCGTTTTGACAGCAAGGCCCCAAACAACATGCACAGACCCCATGATTAGCAGCAAGTGATTACAATACAACTTTGGGATTTCCATTTTAAATGCATTTTGAAAAAACAACAACAAACATCTCAACTGTAAATAGAAGCATGGCCCCCCCCCTAAAAACAAAAGTACTTTATTTTTAGGGAAGTTTAGGTTTGTTTTGTTGAACTCCGATGACCTACAAAGCGGTTGGACAGAACATGCTAATAACACGGCGCAGGGTGAGAACAAAGCATTGTATGTATTATTGTTTAGTTTTAAAGAAAAGAAAAAGTATTACATTTTAGAGATGTTGATTTCTATTTTTTTTTTTTTGCCAAAGTATGGAGGGCAAACACAATTACTTTTTCTGACTGTAAACTTTTACTACTCTTGTACATTATGAATTTAACATGGTTATCAATGTGTATATAACTTTTTTTCTAAATTTTAAAACGATAGATTTTTGTTTTCTTTTCATGACACAACCCAACGACACAGAAAAGCAGAGTCAAGCCCGTCAATGTATTTAACAGGAGCAGCACAACTCCGGTCTGAGGGCTTGCCCCTGTGTAACGACACATGAACAGTACGTGGCCTGAAACGTTTCGCAATGAACCCTGCTCTTAATCCGATGCATGTTCTGAATGTTGTCGTACATTTCAACCGCCCCGCCCAGCCACAGTAGCATGTCACCCATAAAGCCTTTCTTGTGTCACACATATGTCACCGATCACAGATGTTGTTGTATGAAATTGTTTCTGACAAAACGTGTTTAGTTTGCAAATGTGTTTGTTTTTGTTTTTTTTGTATGTGAAAAACTGGAAAAGACCACTGCACATCCTTTTGAAGAAGAGGAAACATGAGTGATAGAATCCTTTATAAGCTAAAAAAAGAGAGAGAAAATTAAAAAAAAATAAAAACGGATGGTTCAACCATACATCTTTAAGTTTAGACTGTAAAGCTGGAGGTGTTAAAGTAATACTTTGACATTTTGGGAAATACGAAATTGCGGCGCTACGTGCTGGACTAGTGTCCAGTGAGTTTCTAGAGGTCAAAGGAATTGTTCCTTGAAACGCAAACCTCCTTCGTTCCTTGTCCGGATTAACGAGACGTAATGTGTTGATTAATGAGTTAACCGGAGTCAGGCCAGCTGTTTCCCTCTGTGCCACGCTAGGCTAACCCATGGCTAGCAGTGGCCTTTATGTAAGGGACAGATGTGAGAGAATCTTCGGCACACTGTGGCTGTGAAGTGGAGAGCGGGGCCGTCCTTCAATCAGAGGATCGGCGGTTCGATCCCCGGCTCAGGCTCCACTAGTCTCATGTTGATGTGTCCTTGAGCAGGACACTTGACCCCAAACATTTGCTCCTGTAGCTGTGCCTATGGTGTAGAATCTGAATTGTAAGTCACTTTGGATAGACGCGTCTGCTAAATGACTGTAATGTAGTAATCTAGCTCTCTGCCATTAAGGGAACACGCGTATTTCCCCAAAATATCAAGCTATTCCCTTTTGAGGAGGCTCAGCATAAAGGTGAAACACCTTCAGCTCTGAATGAATTAAGTACTGTCTGACAGTAGTGTTGTGATGAACTGTTCATATTTGTGTTATTGATCAGGGAGAGATCCTCTGTTGTTTAAAGGTAGACAGCAGGGGGGGGGGGGGAGCGTTGCAGGTGACGAATCTGAGGACAAGCAGCTTCTTCTTTAGTCATCTGTCGGTCCAGTGGTCTGCTCCAGTTTATACACCAATACCTTTATATTTATCGCTATCTTGTTTCCCGTGCTGTGCGTTGTTTATATCGATGGATTTGTGTCCGTGTTGTCCTCTGTTGAAGTCTCTCCCACGGCTTTCTTTGTCTTTGATCGCTGCTCCTCCCGCTCCTCCTCTCCGTATCCTTCAAGTCTTTCTCTCCTCAGTGCACATAGGTGGTCCCCAGAATGCTGTGTGTAGTGTTGCAGGATACCTCTTTATCAATGTCATTTATTGCCGATGAAAAATGCTGATGTATTAATTTTGGGATATGTTGTATATACATTATGTTGAGACATCGGTGTGTATGCAGACAGCAGGAATATGTGTGTAATGTACAGTCCAAAAAAAAAACCCAAACCCGCAACCCACAGAGATTGCTTCATCCCTCACACTGGATCCAAATGTGCCATTATCTTTATGTATCACAGATATCAACATATTGAACACACACTCACACACACAGAAATACATGCATATTGTACAGGATCAAAAATGTGCCATGACTAAATGAACGCTTGACAATTTATTTTTTCTATGTTTTCAAAGGAGAGCCAAGTAGTGACATGTACAGAAAAATGTTGCAATGATATGAAAATAAAAATCTTGCTGTGTGTAAATTATTCAACAATTAACTGTTTATATTAAAATTATGAATAAAATTATTGGAGAATATGTGTCGTCTTGTGCTTTTGAACTATGAACCGAGGCAGGCAGCCAGAACATTCTCACCTTTTACCTTACAGACATGCGAGCATAAGACTAATTATCGCTTTACTTTGAGTAAAAAAACGTAAGTTGTAATTTGAAAGCCCGGGAGATGATGCTCACAAGTACTCTACTTATGTACGATTCTGAGGTACTTTAGTATTTCCATTTGATGCTACTTTATACTTTTACTCCATTACATTCGTTTGATAGCTCCTGGTTATATTATATATTCCACAAGCATGCAATTGTATGTATATGAAAACCTTATGCATATGATGTATTGCTTTACATGAAACTACCTAGCAGTGTATAAAACAGTTATCTCCACCTGGACCAAGTACAGCATTAAAATGCTGCTTCCATCAGTAGCATGTCACCCATTAAGCTTTTCTTGTGTCACAAATATGTCACCTGTCACAGATGTTGTTGTCGGAAATTGTTTCTGACAAGAGACGTGTGTTTGGACCCCTGCACATCCTTACAATATCCTACAAATGGATTATTTTGAAAACTGTGGCATTTATACTAAGGTCAAAGCTCTGAATACTCCTTCCATCATTTGTCATACACTTTTAGCTTTGCCTTTGTTCTTTCTTCATGTTCTTTTCCTGCTTTTCTTTCCACAATCCGCACAAACAAGTTCAGCAATAGACCTCTGACTGCTGGCTGCTGCTGTAATGATCAGGTCACCCAACTTAAGTGCCTTGCTCCAGGGCGTCTTGACAGTGGCTGAGAGAGAAGGTTTGAGTTTTTTCTCCACACTCCTTTGACAACATGGTACTATTTCAACCTGCTCCCTGCAATCGTGATCCTCTTAATTTCCAATTGCAAAAGAAAGAATAAAATGAACACATGAACCTCAAACTTTTCAGTTTTAATCACAATGCAATATTTGGATATCAGTTATATTTGTTGCAGAATGTCTGACATTTTTACTCTACTGTTATGTACTGTTGTGTATAATTCTACCACACCTTATAAACATTTTCTCAATGTATTGTGAGCACATATACTCTCCTCACTGCTTGTGAATTGTATTGCAGGGGACAACCTCAGGCCTGTCAGCTATTTCATGTGAGCCTTCGTGTTCATTCACACACTGAGGTCTCAAAAGTAACACATTACGAGCAGTGGTACAGGGCGCATCGAGGCACGATTTTGATGAACTAATGCTCTGACTGAAACCACTACAAACGCAGCTAGTTCCTCTTAACCCAGTTTCTCTGGGCTGTTCACGGGGGAGCATAAAGCTGCAAAACATGAACATGCAAAACGCAAAAATAGAGATTGGACGAATGAAAGTCATGAGATAATGCCACAACTCAATGATGGGTGGATATGTGTGTGCACTGAATCATGAATGCATCGCCTTTAGTTTTAGTTTTGCTCAATCTGTTACAATGAAATGTCTTTAAGAGTCTGTGAGTTAAGAACAAAGGTTTATTGTCAATAGGTCACTCATTGTCAACACAAGACTTCACAACTTGCACCTATGCCATAGTGCCGTGCTGCCATCAGGGCGTGAGCTGCCACAACACATTTTGAAAGTAGCAGCCGTGTGAAACTGTGCGTGTCGGCCATTCACCATGTTCTCAGCTGCACAGAATGAGAAAAAGAGGAAGCGGGGTTGAGATCCTGTGGCTGGCTGCTGGCTTTCTAAACTCAGTGTGAGGGCGAGCCCAACGTTCACGCAGAACATTGTCAGACCTGAGGAACTTTAAACCACCTTGTCTCCTCTCTTCTGCCTTGTTTAGGTGAACAGAGTGGAGTATTGTGCTGCCATCTGTTACCTATCATCGAATGTAAGTAGAGTTTATTTTTGCTTTTCTGAGTTTTGAGTTTCAAACAGAGATCTGCAAGCAAGGGCCCAGCTCCTTACTTGCCTTTGTCTATGCATCGTCTGAAATGTGAAGTACTTTTCTGCGTTAGAGTTCTGTTTTTAGTACATTTCTACTTGCCTTCTCTGTGCCAGTGTTTTGTTCTGCCTCCTCTGTCTGTGGGAAAGTAAGAAGACTTTTCCACTTGATGAGCAGTGAGCTGAACTTGACAGTCATCCGTAGTTACACTTGAGCAAATTAAGAAGCACAATGGTTGCAACAATTGTCAGGCTCTGTATCTAATAGCTGCAGCTTAGAGATACTCTCCTCTCTCTCTCTCCTGTATGGTGACTGTTCCTCTTCACAGTTTCTTTTAGCTTTTTAAAAGACTTTACTTGCTTCACTTCTTGCCAGAAGATGTGACGGTTTGTGCCACTGTGACTCAGACTGCATGTATGTATCATTGCCTTACATTTTTATTGCGTATGTTTCCTTCTCTTTTTCTGTTTCTGCCCTATTTCCCTAAAACAATAGCATCCCAAACCCATTTCTGACTCCCTCCTCGGCCTCAACCAGCAATCATCTCATAAAATGTCTTTACAGTGAAGACCTGCCTTGACTTTTTTTCCTGTATGAGTTTATTATTAAAAACTGAAAGCTTGAAACCTTTCTTGGAGTCTCTTACACTGTATCATAAACAATTATAAAAATTCAACATATCCACTTTCACGCCTCCTTTTCTCTTCCCACTGTCCCCCTTTCTTTCTTTTTGGCTTTCCTGTTCTTTTCCTGTCTTCACTAGAGTCTTTGGAGAGGTAATCCCCAATCAGCAGTTCCCTATTCCTTGCTTTGGACTCTCTCTCTCTCTTTCTCGACTCCCCTCCCTCCGTCCCTCCTCTCCCCTCCTGCTCTCTCCCTTCCTCTCGCTGGGTGCCAGAGCTCCAGTGTGAGAGAGCTCCAGTTCCAGCTGGCCTCCCCACTTGCGCTGCTCGAATGGCGGACTCCTCTCTTAACAACTCCTGGCCCTCCTTCTCCAAACTCTGGATGAAGAGATGGTCCTTCAAGAGAGGTACTGGTTTCACATGTGGTTGCACTTCGGCCGTTTTTTGGTTTGTCGGATAGAACAGAGGGAACACTGAGAGCGTAAAGCTGGGCAGAGAGAAGAGAGGGGTCATCATCCAGTAGAGGTTGTGGACTGGATGTGACCTCAGGATAAGAGGATGTGTTAGCTGTTGTTTGCCATTTTTACCTGATTGGGACTTGTGGTGAGTGATAGTTGCTGTGTATCAGAAGAGGGGTTTTGCAAAGTTCAATGAGTCATTTCTATCCCTGCAGCATTGTATAAGATGAGTGAACACAGAAATGTCCCCATGCACTTATAATGGGGAAGAAACTTTTGATTATTCATTGTCATGTCATCATTTGGTGTGGCGATACTGCTACAGTAAATGTAGAGTTAACAGCTCAATGAAGAGTTTTTTTGAATGATGTTTGGTGTGAGTTTGCAGTTTTCCAACTAAATCCATTCAGAAAAAAATCCTAAAAGTTCACTGGAAAAAGACTGACAAGTGGAGTTTTATACACCCGATTCACGCAACAACTCATCTTTTCCTGTTCATCCTTCTCTATATAAGGCAGAGCTTGAATTATTTCACACTGTCTGTTCCCATGCTGTTATCTTCAGAGACATAAAGACATAAAGAAGCCGTGTAAGACGCTTCCATTTTGCTTCAGCCAGGGGTGTCTGTGTAGCTCGACGCTTTGAAAGAGTAGTCGGACGAATCTCTGATCAAAGAGGATCTGTGAGATGACAGTTGTTTTGATGTGCGCTTCGACCTCAGATCTAACAGCCTCCGTATTCTGTTTTCAACAGCACACAACATCTGTCACACATGCACACACTTGCACGGTGTATCATCCAGGTACCGAATGGTCGTTATAACATTAATGCAAACACGTATTTGATGTATTGAATAATATATTTATGTTAGATGAGTTACAAGTGTGACTTTTTTCGTCATCTGTGTTTTTTGTAGCTGGGTGATATATAGGGTCAGTGTGTGTGTGTGTGTGTGTGTGTATGTCTCATCAGAATTACCTCAACAATACATAAAAAGTTGTTTATTGTACTAGTGTCTGTGTTGAAAAAACATCTGTTGACATAAACAGATGTGCTTGTCATAAACTCATCACTTCAATTGCAAATAATCAACTGACTGCATCATATGATGCCAGAGTTCCTCTTGTGATTGTCATGTATCTTTACGAACGTATGGACAGTAAGCTCTGTGGTGAACATGTCATTTCCTTCTTTCTCACGTTTGCTCAAATGTCTTCCTTTTCACAGAACTCATCAAACACAAACAGGGTCTAGGCACACAAATCTGTCATTTACATTCTGCATAATGAAAATTTTTGAAGTATTTTTTTGAATCTATCTGACAAGTACAATTCTCACAAACATTGTTTTACTTTTTAGTCTGAACAGAAAAAACAGGCTTAAGTTACTTAAATTCAGTAAAATAGCTGATTTATTGTAGGGCATTTGTCAAGCCAAGTCAAGTCAATTTCATTTTTATAGCACGAAATCAAAACTTTATCTCAAACAATCTGTTCAGCATATCACACCTTCTGTCCTTAACTTTGATTTGAAAAGGAAACAGTCCACAAACACCCTTCAACAGAGCAGACAGAAGTTACAGTTGTAGAATCACAATGCAGAGAGAAAAGAGGACCAATATTTAAAAGAAAATAAAAACAAAAAGTACATGAAGTATTAGATTGAGTAGATATTAAGTGGCGATGTGTTAATGTAATTAAGTCATTTATTAGTTGATAATGGTCATTAGTTGTAGTAGCAGGCCACCCTTTGTTATGTGGAGCCAAAACTGTGGTGAAAAAACAGCTGACTATGACAGTGCCAAAATGGTTGTGGAGACACACACACACACACACACACCTGAGCAGACACACACACACACACACACACACAGCGACACACACTGATGTTTCGTCCTTGTGTAATGTATAAGCAGATATGAGAGGCCAACCATAAAAGGCTGCGGTGGCACCACTGGACAACATCACTGCAGCAGTGTCTGTACCGAGTGTCTGAGTTTACACTTAACACGAGTGGGATTTGGACGCAAACAAAATCCTCCTCCAGCGGGGACACTGCCATCCCCGCAGAGCTCAGGGGGTGATTTAGTAATATAGAAAATAGATCTACAGTGTGTCTGTCTGTGTGTTTATGTGAGAGCATCTCTGGCTGTGGGGCGGATGCTGCTGGTTTTATTGCAAGACACGGTGCAGGACTGTGTGGCCCGTCTGCATTTGAGCCACACACACACACACACACACACACACACACACACACACACACACACAGACACTAATTATAACACTCACAAATATGATTAGAATTATCTGCAAAAATCCCCATTGTGTTGCAGATAGATAGCAAGGTCTCGGTCTCATTGACAAAAATGCTTCCATATGTCTGAGATGAGCTTTTCATATAGCTCACAGTGGTGAGTGTGATAAGGTCCATTGATTTTAGTGGCAGCCACCTGAGCACACAGGATATGTATGTCCATAATCCAATGTAATGTAGGTTGCACAATGGATTATATCATATAGTTATGTTTTTAAAGCTTAATCAGATTTAAAATTGAATTAGAATCCCTCAGTGGAACATTTCAAAGCTTCTATTTTATTGATTTTGTGCTTCACAGCATAATATATGCTACTAGCATGTTTCTGTGTCTGTATTATAGTCCAGAGAGGCGGAGCAACAACTTTTTCACCATTCCTTCATTACTGAAATTAGCGGCAGCAGTATACCTGTTCACACTGATCTTGGTAAATCAGAAAGCCAACCTTCACAGAGGAATAGAAACAGGGCAAAATCTATTCAAGGACAATGGAGTCAATGCCTGTGGAGCCAGGCTGGCTTAGGGTAAGGCTCGGGTTCACAGGAGCCCTCATGAAATGAGGCTTATGTAACTTGTCGTAGCTGCGGCTCTCCCCTCCTCAAATGGGCATGGTGCGGCTGAAACCCTAACAGTGAACATGACTTACTCAGACGCTTTTAAAGACTTTTCAGACACCACGAGACACTGATACCTTTTTTTTCATTTATGTGAAAAGTAAGAAATGTTACAATAGCACTCTTAGCCTCAAATATGTGATACCAAGCGCCATACTGTACAGTTCCTTCATATAGCATGTATTTCCTGTTACATTATTTACCACAGACAAGCAGCTTCTCGGGCTGCTGAAAGCTCAGTAAGAGAATAATCTCCAGCTCTCCACCGCTGATATGGAGACTACTGCTGGCTCATCATGCAGTTTACAGTGATGGCAGTGGTTTGTGGCATCATGTGAATCCAGGAATCTGTTTATGCAATGGAAACGTAAAGGAGCTTTTGCTGAGAGGATGGAGTAACTGAGCTTTTCTTCCATCACTGAAGTTGATTGCACAGGTGTTGTGCAGCTGCTGAAATCAGCCACGTCTGCCTTCTTTTGTGTTCTTTTTCTCCTCATGGTACCGTTGAAGTTATTGAGTTTTCGGGAAATGTTTATAACTCAGAGACATCACGTCCATTATCTTTCAGCTTCAGAGTGCAAGCCATGTAGTCAGCCCTGTGGGCCTCCCAGTGCCCAGCTCAGTGTCCAGCCTCATGCTCCCAGCAGGACAGGATCCTCCTCCTCCTCACTGTCCCCTGCCTCTGTCACTGAGGATGTCTTCTTTGGTAGCATCAATAAAGACCAGGTAAAGCTCTTTCATCTTGATTTGGATCATTTTCAATTTAGCTTCCATTCCTTTTTCAGCTGCATGGCGGTGTGGGCAGCCCCACAGAGCTGCTAGCAAGGCAATAGACTCACTTGAGTTACTTGAATGTTGGATTGGAGCTGATGTTCAGAATGTCTTTACCTCCTTTCTGTTCTCCATGTCTATCCTCGTACCTCTGTTTCTCGTCTGCTTTTAAACCCTACACTTTTCTGCCTCCTTTGCTGATTTGCAGGATGCGTGTTCAGTAGTCAGCGACTATGACTGCCCCTGTGCCGAGGTGAACAGCAGTCTGGAGGACCTGGTGGGACTCAGCTCTTCACTCAAAGACTCTGAGTACTTTAAAGACCTGGAAGGAGGGATACCGGCTGCACAGTCGACTGCATCCACATTAACCACAGTCACAGAGAGCAAAACCCTAACTGTTGGCCTCCAGGTGTCCCTAAACTCAGACGCTCCTGCTATCAACCAACCTGTGCAGACTCCTTTGAGCACACACTTCACTCAGGTCAATGCACCATCTTCTTCCCCCTTCTATTTACACCCTGCAGAGGAACGTCATCAAAACTTTGTGGTCACTCAGCTTAGTCCAAAGTTATTGCCAGGTTGTATCATTGACAGCGGTGATTCCTCAGGCCCTGCTGTTGGGCTTAGCTTGACAATTAATCTGAATGGACTGTTGGGATCAATGGAAGCAGCAAAAGGAATAACAGGATCAGAACAAGTAAAGGAGCAACTCACTATGGAGTTAGACGGAGAGCCAGACCTGGACAGCTTTCCTATTCTGGTCAGATCCCTGTCAACGTCTCGGAGGCACAGCTGGGGTGTCCCTTTGTCCCCCATCAACCTGGGGAGGAGGTAAGATGGATAGATGGTTGTAAAGGATGGAGAGAATTGAAGAGAACAACCTCATAAGGATAAATACAACTCCACCCAAATCTAAAGTCCTTCATGTGTTTTAGCTGAGCTCAGTGTTTCTGGTGGTTTAGTTGTTCTTTCACAGCCTCTAAAATAATGCAGTCTGGGCTACTTTTGGTCAAGAATATAACCAGTGCACCGAAATACTTAATGAAAGTGAAACCAGAAAACAGCACACATATAAACTCATAGAGCATCATGTCTCACTCAAATGTTTTGTGTGGTTAGTAGATACTTTTCACTGAACCCTCTGCTGTGTGTGTGTGTGTGTGTGTGTGTGTGTGTTTGTTGCTCTGCTCTGCTGCCAGACTGAGTCTGGATACCATGGCCATGGACAGCGATGGAGAGAGAGAGGATGATGAAGAGGGAGAGAAAGGTCTCTTCCAGTCCACCCAGCCGCAGACCTCCAGCTGCACAGCATGTCCTGGAGAGGAGACAGATGACTCCAGGCTGAGGTTCCCCTGTCCAAGAGCCAGAGTCACTAGCATGGTAATAAAGCAATGGTGACACATTATACAGATTATTAATCTTACCACAAGACCAAAACGCCAGCTCCATACCCATTGGTTTCCACTGAATACTGATAAATCCTTAAAAACAGGTCACAGATAAAATTAAAAACGTATACTTTAATCTTAAATAAAAAGGCTAAGCAATTTACTAAAGATTTTTAGCAAATGTTGCTCAGACAGGAGGATGTAGTGAATTTGTTGGGGACTATTTTGGATTAATACACATGTATTGCTCTCGTGATTATTTACAGCAACGGGACAGTGTATGTGGGATTGACTCAAAATAAACTACAGTGTGTGTGTGTTCATGGTAATGAAGGGCAACAGTTTGGCTCATTGATGAGTGTTTTAATATTTTTTGGACAACAACAGAACTCGCCAGCTTTTGCCAAACAGATGATACAGATCAAATCATTCTTGTTGTTCTTTCTGGCGATTTGTTGACAATAAGACAACTCTTGGTGGAGTCTTTGTGATATGTGCACAATTATGAAAATAACTAAATCAAGTGTTGCAACATAAATTGCCAACTCATAAAGGCCGCTGCAGGTAAAAGTTATCATGCTCAGTGTTTCAGCTGTATATTGGGGGGTGGAGTTAAAACAGATCAAATGTGCATGTGATGTACATGTGTGTTTACCCTTCAATGCTTTCAGGCTGGTGGTGTGCCTGGCAGGCATCTGTACTCCCGCTCAGAGATCCTCGCCACAGACGAATGTTCCCGTGCTGCGCACATTTCTCGTGTTGTGCAGACATCCAAACAGGCCGCAATGGCAGCAGGAGGTGGGGCAGAGCTTTTGTACACGTAGAGTACATGTTTGTTTATGTGTTTTGCACTCAGCAGGCAGCTGTTTTCATCATATTTGACCTTTTCATCTTTCTCTTCTGCAGCAGAGGAGTTCGACCCTGAAGAGAACTTACATTCTACTGAAGGACACAGCCACACGTAAGCCTAAACATCAATTACATCTCCAGCTGGGGTTACACGCCTTTATGACTCGCAATATGTGGTGGAATATCGATTTCCTTTCCAGAAGATGCCTCAGACTGAATGGCAGCTCAGGTTTAATGATGCTCGAAAGAAAGAGAAAACAGATACTCCTCTGGTGTGATCCACAGGAGGCAACTTTTGATTACTTGTGTCCTGTAAATTATACCTATAGCTTTTGAATGCTTCAGTGCAATAGTTCACATACTGTCCTGTAGTTGTAAATTATTATAGTCTGGTACTCCCACATAACGGGAGGGTGGGGGGGGGTCTTTCCCCGTTCCATCCTGACATTTCTGCTCCATGTCATATGTCTGCAACCTCCTCCCACAGTCCTCTTGCCCAGCTCCTTAGATGGCCCCTTAGTATGTGTGTGTGTGTGTGTGTGTGTGTGTGTGTGTGTGTGTGTGTGTGTATAGTATATGTGCTCTGGCGATTGTGTGGACACAGCAGACAAGGGAGGATTCTTCCCTAAATCACAGTTTGACACCTAGCTCCCAGCAGTCTTGCCCTCTCCTCTCCTCTCCTCTCCTCTCCTCCCCTTTGGCAGCCCCCACTCAACCTCAGTGTCTTGTTTGTCTTAGGCTGATGGTACAGAAAGTTGTGCTGGAGCTAAAGCTGTACCATGGGTAAGTAAACAGGAGAGGGAGGTCTGCTAGCTCAAACGCTCGTCCCAGTATTCAGAGCAGCAGCAGAGCCAGATTATGATTAGGGGGAGCACTGCACTGTGTGTGTGTGTGTGTGTGTGTGTGTGTGTGTGTGTGTGTGTGTGTGTGTGTAGGTGTGTTTACATGCATGCATGTTTTTGGCATGTGTGCTTGCATGTGCCTGTTTGGGCCCTGTCACAGTAATCCATCATCTCTTGAAAGAGTCTCTGGAACACTAGAGTTTTTTATTTTTTTGTTCACAAAATCACTGGTTGACGTTGAGCTCACTTGACTATGAAACCCAGCTGACCGAGTGAAACACATCACTTAAAAGTGCACTGCTGGCTACACCATGTTATACTCTCAGATTGTCTATTCACTTGAACTGCTTTAAATGTCTCTCATGGGGTCTCTGTCCACAATCTCATTGTCCTTCATAGAGCGAAGGAGAGGAACAACAGATCAGACAGCAAAGTTACAGGAAATGTCACTTGGTACGAGTTCCTCTCTCATGAGTAAGTACTGTCCTTATCATTGTTCCCTTATCACTAACGTCTACAAGTTTTGAATGAAAATAAAAATGTCCACATAACTATGCTTGATATGTTTCTTGTGTATTTGCATAGAGCTGTTTTATTGACCGTCTATTACAGAGTATGGTCAAAACCAAAAAGGTTAAACATGAAGTGAAAACTGCTCTTGGGTAGGAAGTGATGTGGTTTCTTTTCATTGAAACATTCAAATTCATTTTCCCATCACTGCAACTGTAACTATTTGAGAAAATCTTTCACATATTGAAAGTTTTACATTATGAATTTCATGTGTGTTAACTTTCACATTGTCAAGCAGGAAAGAGTGTAACCATTATGACGTACAATCATATAACTTGCACAAGACAAACACTGTCTTTTCTTGACTTACGCTTTTAAAAGACATTTTTAAAAGACTTTCAAGATGATCAAATAGACAATTTTCAGTAAATATTAATGTGCGTATGAGATGATTAAATTCCGTCAGATTCTATTTCTGTATGTTGTATTTCCTTTATTTCTTGGTGTGTATTCCATTTTCTGCTCTTTTAACAAGGACTGAAGAGGAGGATGATCGTACAGAGAAGGTGGAGAAAGGCACCAAGGTGAAGAGGACTCTCAGCTCTCTGAGGAACAGGGTGACTGGTTCCTTCAACAAAGATAAGGTAAACCTATGCCACAGACACACGGCTCACCATGTTGCGTTCCAATGGAATATATAGACTGATTATCATTAAAAAAGACCAAATCCTGAGGTGTAAACAGTCCCCTGGTGTGCATGTTGCTGCACACACAAGTCAATAATCCACTTACACTAACCTGTTATATATCCTGCCTCTGACACGATTATGCAACGTCATACCCAGCCATGCAGTATGTGTCAAAGTGAAAGAGAACATACAAATTTTCATGTAAAAACCTCCCCCCCTGTGTTTGCTTTTCTTGTTCCTCTGCAGGGTAAGAACCGAGAAAAAGAGCAGCAGAAAGAGAGGGGGAAGGAGAAGGAGCGGGAGGCTAAAGAGAAAGTTTGTGGCAGCAGAAGCAGCAATGGGCATTATTTGGTGCCAGGCGCTTTCTCCAGCTGTGCCACCTGCTCACTGTGCAGCAAGACCCTGCAGACAAAGCATGGCCTGCAGTGCATGAGTGAGTAACACCACAACCACATTTGTACACGCACCTACGCTTGTTCTCAGCCTGACACACATGCACAGGTGCTTCGCTCACACACAAACGCACCCCTTTAAACCCACGCTACTGCATGAATGCTCACTCACACACTTGTCGGAGCACTCAAGCATACGGGCAGAGCCACAACCCCCCCCCAGGAAACTGTAATGAATCATAACACATTCATGAATTGTTCAGGAAACACTCAAATACTCTTTTCAGACATTATTATTTCTGACTTAATGTTATTTTAAAGGAGCTGTATTTAACATTCTGAACATAAATACCCAACCAAACAACTATTTGCTATGTGAAGATATAGTGGAGTAATGTCTACCTGAGCAGAGAAGGAAGTCGCTCTCCGTCTGTGTGCGCTGTTATCTGAGCTTCTTCTTGCTTTGTTGACAAATCCGGGCCGGCAGAGCATGTTTTTAGTGCATGTTCGTGCATGTGAGTGTACCCAACTGGTTAACTCACGGATCCCCCCTCAGGTAAACACTGTTAGCTCTGTTAGCACTTTCACCGTTGTTTGCACTGTTAATGCTGTTAGCCACGTTAGCAATGTGCTGCCGGTTTGCCTTCGCCATGTTGAGAGCCATTGAGAGGCAATTGAAGTGCTCCCAATCTCATATTTTGCACCTTAAAATAAACTTGTTGACATATTTGTTATGAGGCAGATTACAGCATTATAAAAACACTGCATACAATTTTCACTTTTTCTTTTGACAACTATGTCATAACCCAGAAAGGGATAATCACAGTACATGGCATCCATCATATTGAATGTGGCTTTTCTTTTGCACGTTTCTGCTGTGAATAAGATGGTGCTTTCTTTCAGTTCCTCTTTAAACAGCATATAACCTTCTAAAGTATTTAATAATCAAACACACTGACAACACAGTCTGCACACTTTTTCACACTGTGTCCTTATTGTGGGTTCTAGTTTTGCACAACTCAGCTCACTTGTTTAGATGTGTTATCTGATATATTAGCACCATCGCCTGACAGATGTTTATGTGAATCCACAGCACGACTTGACTTTGTTGCTCTGGCTTGAAATATTCTTCACAATTTTTGCGTCTTTCGTGTGCTGCATTGCTTTTTTGGACCAACCACAGCTTTGTGAGTCCATTTGTGGAGGACTGCACAGGACATTTCAACATCCCGCGGCTCCATTTTTTCTCATATGCAGCCTGTAGGCCAGCTGATAAGCCTGCAATACCTAATGACAGACGTGTGTTTGTGAGTACAGTGCAGTGGACGAACTCTGATCTAAGGAGTCAAACTGTGATAGCACTTTAAAATAGCAGGAGTAATACTTTTTTTATTATAACATATGTTTACAATAACAGCCTCTTATTGATTAAATAATCAAAAGAGTTTAAAGTGAAGAAATGGATGGGGTACGTTTTGGCATTAAGGAATTGTTGTGTATGATAATTCTTACAACAGCATTTGGTAGTAAATCCGTTGTATAAGGTTGTACTAAAGTGCAGTTTGACTTAAAAAATTCGCAAATACAGTGATGTAAAAATCAAATGGCAATTATCAGTGAAGATTAACACAATAGTTGTGTAACATCCCTAAATAAAATGTTCTTTAACACCAGAGCTGATGGGCGATAAGGATTCAAAATGATAAAGTGTCGTCTTTCAAAGGAATCATATCTGATGAAATCATATATCGAGATATCGTGATACACAAATGTTGTCTAAATTCATAATAACAAGCACTTACTAACTAAAATGTCTCAGATGTGATTATTTTGCCATATTGTGACAGAAGATTTCGGACATATCACCCAGCCCTGTTTGACGGCACATTTTTTAACATATCCATTATAAATAAAGGTCCAAATAAGTAATAGCAGCAAAATGTAAAGTACTTATAATGCAGAAATTCACTATTTGGGGTTTTAATTTATAACAATGCATCATAATCTATAAACAGAGCATGTATTTTGTAAATAACTAGAAACTGCAGCTGTATGCATAAAGTAGCATTAAATAGAAATACGCAGACATTTATCTTATTATATATCAAAATTAGAATTAAAGTGTATTTTTTGTGATGCGATTATAGTTTAAAAAAAAAGAAGAAGTTTATACTCCCACACTGTATTTCCTCATGACATGCAGTCAGACTTGTGGCACACACCTGCTGACATTATTGTAATTCAGAGACTGTCTTCTCCTAAACCATGTGGTCTGTTGGTGGAGAATTCCCCATCACCAAATAAAGTTTCAAACAAAGAGCAAGGAAACAGAACTGTTTTTAAAATTAGTGCTGTTTCAGTTTCCTCGCTCATTCTATTCTGTGGGAGACAAAGGCCATAATATGTCCAGAACATTTATAAATCCTGTTCTCTGGCGTGAGGAGATATACTGTGTGATTATTTTAAATAGTGTGCTTACTAAACAAAATTGTTCTGGTATATTAACCCAAAGCAAAGGGCACCACACGCCCAGTGTGCTTCAGACTGCACTGCTTCTTTTAGACATTAACCAGAAACCCAATAACGCATCAAGGCCTGTCTCTCTGTCTGTCCCCAGTCATCAAGCATGACTGTTTAGAGTGATGAAGTTACAAATCCTATATTTTGACACTTAATGTGCTGTTGGTACAAACACACACACGCGCGTGAGAAAACAAGTGAGTGTCCCTTTAATTTGAACCAAGCCCTGTGGGGATTCAGCCTGTGGAATGCGTCGTTTGTATGCCAGAGATTGTTCCCAGTGAGAGTAGCACACAAAACTGGACAAAACCAAAAATGTGGGATACTTGTTGCTGTTGACTTCAATGGTCGAACTGTTTTGTCTATCTTACGGACGGACGACATTTCCTTTTGGATGCAGCTGATTCAGATAAACCCGGTAACCGTTGGAACGGTAAGAGGCAGCTACTGGAGCGACGGTCTCAAGCGGGATCAGGTGGATCACTCCTGTTGTTTCGCTCAATGGACTTTTCGGGCATCCTGGCCGCTAGCTAGGCAGCTATATGCTAATGATAGTCAACCAAACGCTTGTTAAATGTGAGTGGTGTGCCGGGGTTGAGTCGGTGTCTTCAAAAGGGAGACCCACTTCTTGAACTAATTCGATATTTAATTTATCACAAATTTACGCTTAACGTAAAGCTAACTATTAGCCACTTAATGCTAGCGCGTTAGCCTGCGTTCAACCGCTTCTATTAAAATAAAACAAGGTTAGTTGAGTTAGCAGTTAGCTTTAATAAGCTCAAAGTTATAACAATACATCGACTCGTATTGTGTCGCGTGTTGTTGTTGCACAACGTCCCCCTCGGTTTCACTTCGTGTGGCTCTTTTCAGACGTTTGTCTTTGGCTGCTGGCTGCAGACTTTGCACGGAGCTGAACAGGTGATTGCTAGCTTACGTTAGCTTCCAAGATAACTTCTGTTATTTTACCCCAAGTCAGCTGTTGAACTGTACTAGCCTGCTCAGGTGTTGCCTTTTTAACATGACGGGGAAATCACGGGTTAGTACACAATTTACGGTTGGATCGCGAGCTGTCGTGTAAGTGGAGGATGTTATAAGTTAACTGTCTCTTGTTGTCATTCTGCTACTCCCACCCCGTTATAGTTGGCTCAGAGACTGTGCAGCTAACTGGCTCTGTGTTATGAAACTCCATAATCCTCGATGTGATAAATGATGTTATTCTTGCTTTTCTTTGTCTTTTTGCCTCTCTGTTCTGACTAAGCTTTCTCTCTCTGGGTCACATGGTGCTAATTGTGCTTGGCAGGTCTGCCGGTGCATAACAACCCACCCCACTGACTCTGGGTCTCACCCATCTCACCCTGTTAGCACATCACTTCTCCATGCATCACTGCTCTGCCCTGCAGCGTGCAGGACTCTCTGGGTGTCTGCCTTTTTACAAGATTCAAAGTCTGACTGCCTCCATGTCTCCTCTGAGTACTTCTCAGTAGATTTTCATCTCCAAACTGTTGTTATCATCTTCTTTTCATAGTTTCTATTGACCTTATTAAGTCAGGTGATGGACATAAGTTTCATAAAGGGGGCTGATCAGTAAAGGAGAAATGCATTTAATGTGTAAAATAATAAGACTTGTAGAATACAACATTTATTTTGATCTAGATATACGTTTGCTGTAGCTTTCCCCAAGCTTGCTCTTCTAGTATTATCTGTATGCTGCTGGTGTTTTATAGTAACCACGACCCTCCTATTTGGGCAAGAAATGTGACCGGGCGGAGATGCTTCGCTTCACAGAGTAAACAGCCCACTGAGCCCCTGTTTCACTAGATGATGTCATGGTTTGGCTGGCCACTTCAGGGTTTGCCCCCAAGTGTTGATGTTTTTTGTCAGTATTGTTGCAGGGAATTAGGAGTAGCCTCTTACATACACAGGAAGCAGGTGGTAAGTTTAAAAAAAAAAAAAAAAAGCAATACCTTCAAACAGCTGTTGTGCCCTTTTCCTCATTTGTGGTCGCAGTATTTCTCTATGAACTGCATAGGGTGGTAGGGTGGTTTTAACATGGTTGTTTCACTTGGTTATACCAAGAATGGTGGAAGGATACCACAGCAAATATTACCCTAACCCTATATTTACTCCCCCGAGATATTTTAAGGAGTTGATAATGAATGTGTGCATGGACAGGTACACAATGTAGATTTTTGGAGAATGCTTTAAAACTGAAAATGAAACCTGAAAGTCTAAACATAGATTTCATGAAAAGGATTGAAACAGGTTTGTCTAACAATACAGATAGATATTTAGTGTGTGTGTACTAGAGGGCCACAGATTGATTAGTCGACGCCGATGTTTACAAACCTATTATTGGTGGACCTGAGCTCTGATAGTGGCTGCCCCCATGGGTGCTCGGGGCAGGTGAAATAATGATGGCTTCTGTCTTATATATCCTTCAAATGCATTGTGAACCCTCCTGTCTGCTTCTCTCTTAGACAGCTTTTTACTGATGATATAATTCTTCAGGGAGTGCTGTTAGTAACAGTCTGGCGCCATGCCGGCTTCGACAGCTTGACAGAGTACAGGCGGCTAACAACGGGGCAGGGCAATATGATAAAACTACTTTTAAGTATCCTGTTGTATGAGTTACTGTTTCCCAGGAAAGACACACCCGGAGCTATCAAGAGTTCTGCTGATTCCAGTGTCTTGGATAACAGGAGGCAACACATTCTCTCTTTAGTGGAGGAGTTGTAGCACAGGTGATAACTTGTTTTAATAATTTATCTCTATTGGTTAGCTTATTTTTCCGCCACCCCAGGGCAAGCCATAGAAAATTCTGCTTTATCAGTCTTCAGATCGCAGTCGTGCCCAAGGCCCCGTTTGCATTTCTAGCTAATTGAGTGACTTACTGAACTGTGGGTTGTACACCACATGTGTGCTTCTTGTATGATGGGCTGGTTACCAGTCAGCAGATGTTGGTGGTTTTGATGGGGGGGTGCGCGCGCGCGCTGAGTGTCCCGAGGAGCTCACTGCAAACCACAGTACTGCTCACATGAGTGAGTGTCTGTATCTTATCACACCGCTCAAGAGTGGCAGGAACTGGACGACACTCACTACGACTACTTCCTCCTGAGGATTGACACCACTGTGACAGTAAAAACTGGCCTGAGCTGTGACTACTTTGATTTGTTGGTTGTTAATCATTTTCTGGTGTAGAATTTGTTTGCTATTGCCAAATGGCAAGGTGGTCTGTACTGTGGCTGCAACAAGTTACTGCCGATAAGGTCTGTGATATCAGTGAACAGAAGACACGGTGTTCTTGCTTATCTTTGGATTTCTTTTTCGTTTGGCAAAAAATCTTTTGAATGCAGTTTGAGTATAATCACCTCCACAATTATAACAGAAAGGGCTTACTTTTGGGTTCCTCTGTAATGACTTCAAATGATGTTTTGGCAGTGACATGGCTTTTTAGTCAACCTATCTTCTGTCTCTTATCTTTTCCCGTTGTTAGCAATGGTTTTCCCAGCCTGGTCGCAGTCGGTTTGTGAGCTTTGTTAAGATGTACTCTACTTACTTCATAGACTCTATTAGACCTTGAAGGCTTGTTGTGCATTTTGTGTGAGAGATCCAGGCTGTTCAGAGAAACTGGAATTTTGCACATTAGTTGGAGCGAGGTGGAATATTTTCTCTTAGTGTGGTGACATGACTGCTGATACGTTTGTTGGTCCGCATTGGGCTTCAGTAGTTCAGCACTGCTGGACCCGACTCAAAGAGGGACACAGCTCTGCTGGTGAAGATTATTCAAAAGCCAGTTTCTGTTTTCTTTTCCTCCAGCTCGGCCAGCAGTTGTTCATTTAGTACTAGAGAGATGGAGACAGAGGGGGTCTGAAATTATGAATGAAGTGAAATGATGAGTAAAGGGGTTAGGGCTCGATCTAAAAGGGACAGATAGATTACACTCTCTTTTTTATATATATATATATATATATATATATATATATATATATATATATATATACATACATACATACATACATACATACATACACACACACATACATACACACACATACATACACACACACACACACACACACACACACACACACAGACATTGTATATTCACCTATTCCTCATTCCTCCTCACTTTCCTTGCACACAAACATGATTATCTCTCTGCTTCGTGCCTTTACTGCATAGGAAGAAGGCTTTTTGTCGTTGTTTCCATTGTACCAGCAGCACACAGAAGGGGAAGGGCAACCGAGGCCTTTACAGCAGCTAGTGGAAGTTGCTAGTATGTTTTCAATCTGTTGTTCACAGGAGGGCCACCTTTCACAATAAGCTATGCAGCTTCAAACAATCACCACATAGCCGCATGTTCACTTTGTTACCTGCCATAAACAATGAGGCTGAGATAGTTTTATAACATTAGGACCCTTGCTGTCATAGAAAGCTGAGCACTTAAATACCAGTGAACGATAAACACACACAAATCACTGACACGTGATTTTCTTTTGGTATTTCCCAGTATTGAGTGACCTGCTTGTTGCTGTCAGCTAAAGTCTGCTTTTCACTAATGGCTGCATTAGCTCAGGCTGTTAAACTCGCCGACCCCGTTTCCACTGATCAGCCTCTGTACGGAGAATCAGCCCTCGCTTTAGTGTGCATATTTATCTCTTTGCCTGTATGCATCTGGATATGTTTTGCATTGAGGCCATGTGTATGCGTCTTGTCCACATCAGCCTGGTTTTACATGGGATTAGACTTTGCATAGTGATAACTTCATTTGTTCGGCCAGCCTTGGCCCTTCACGAAAGGCTTATGTTGCTTCCCTTATACAGTATGTAGTCGGGCTGAAAGATTGAAATGTTTTGTTTTTACGTGTTTTGTCTGTCCAGTAGAACACGGAGTGGAGGACTTAATGCCTCTGTGGCATGTTTTTCCAAAACAACTTTGATTTGTATCTGCGTTAATCAGCAGAGATTCAATCAGTCGTGTCAGCTAAACCTGACGGCAGTAGCTTTGTTTTCCACGCAGGGAGAAACGTGGACAAAAAGACGAACCTATTACTGAGATAAAGGGAGTTCCCGTCTACAATGCCACTTTGTATCTTGTTTGTGGAAACAAACAGGAGCCAGAAGTGATTCTTTGAGTTGATAAGAATACACATCTGAAAACAAATACTTGACTTTGTGATAGTCGATAGCGACTGCTGAAGAAGACATGCCTGCAGGCTTTTATTTCAGCACCATTGCAGTGCATTTGTTTGAGTTCCACCCTTTTTACTTTTACGACTGCCTTCAGGGAGCTGTTGGATTGTTTTTTTGAAATTTCACACTGATTTATTTTCCCCGCACATATTCCATCTCAGAAGCCACCACTGTTGCCTCTGTACTGTGTACTCTGTAGCTAATGCAACACCGACTCTGTGTTCCTGTCCTGCTGTTTTTCAGATTGTGCTGTGAACGTTCACAAGAGCTGCAAGTCTCTGCTGGGTGACTGCACCAGCAGCAGGAATAAGGTAAACACTACGCTGGAGCATAGAAAAACAGGGCCGGAGGCTTGGCTGTAGTGAAGTCACTTTAGTACCAACCTCTTTCTCTCCGAGAGCTAAAATGAAAGTACCACCAGGATTGTACATCGCCAACAGCAGACATAATGTCTTACTTTTATGGTCCATTAATAACATTTTAACCAGGTCAGTCATTGTCTTTATTGCAGTCCTGCCACAGGTGACGGAGTTTTTGTGTTTCGTCACTAAACGAAGCCTCTGTTGCTGCATTTGCCTCCTTCTTCTGTGTGTTGACAGAGACTGTGTGTTGACTGTTTGTAGACAGCAACCAGCTGGAAAGTCCCGTGAAAAGATGCTGTGGACTTTAATAAATGGCGAACGAAATTACATCTTTTACCGACTGACTGCACCGCAAATGAGACGCATAAGTTTGTCATTTACATTCGTGAAAAAAACAGTGTCAAAATGTAACAAGAACAATGGCAGTAATAGTGAATGACAATTGTGACAGAAAAAGTATTTGCAATATGAATGACGATGCTACATTGCAAAATTGAAATGTGTCTTAACGTCACTGAATATGAGATTTCTAAGCTTTTCTGCAATTTTTTCTTTCGTTTTCACTATCAGTAAACACGTCCTGCACCTGCAACCTCAGTTGTTGCTTTCTGTATGTAGCCCATGTTTTATGCTCTGTGGTTACATTTTTAGGTGGTACATATTAATATTATCAGGGAATCCTCTATGTAGCAGCAAAGCCTCCACATGTAGCTACTGCACCACCTCAACAGAGAAGCATAAATCCAAAAGTTGTGCGTTTATTCAGGGACAGGGACATTTAAGACAACTCCACTGAAGATGACATGTCTCTGTCCATTCTTATGAAACTTCCTGAGATGGACTTTGCTCGCTAACAGCACGTGAGCGGTGTTTCTGAAAAGAAAGTGTGTGCAATTTCTTGCCATTTTGTAATCTGTCACTCAGCTGATGTAAAAATGCTGTCTTACTTCATTTTTCCCCACACAGAGAGATTCATCGGCGAGGACTTGCTCATCAAGATCTTCAAATCTTGGTAAGCAGAACGTGCATGTGCAGATGTACACCTTGTAAATCCCACTAAGTACATTGATAGACAGCAAGATTTTTTTAGTCCCCATGTGTCAAATTAAAAAGCAGGATTGGTCTTTGGGGACTTGCAGAGGATGAAACAGATAAACTCTTATGACATCTGTAGATGGACTTGTTGTCTTTCTTTCTCCTCCTGTATGTGTGTGTGTATGTGTGCATCTGGGTTTCTGTGGTATATGTGTGTCTGCCTGCACACTGAGCGAGATGATTGGCCTCCAACAGACTGTAGGCAAAGGTGATGATTGGCCATTGTTGACAGAAGTCAGGTGCTTTACCTCTGGTTCAATTATTTTCTAAACCTAAGATAGGTTTAGTAAGTTTGTACCATTTAGACACAGGAGTATTTTGATTGATTATACGGCGCCGCTCAAGATCTCTCTTGTATACACAAAGAGAAAGGAAGCTAAACAATTTTTATTTTTAAAGTGTCAGATTCTCCCAACAATATTTCTTGGACTGAATATAAGTTTAGATTGAAGGTAACTTGACCTGTTAAATTTGCAGTATGCTCTCATTCATTATCATTAAGTGGTCCATCAATTGTAACATTCAGCAGGTCCTTTTGCACGCGATTGAACCCACAGGAGACGTGAGCGGCTGCAGCAGCAGCAGCTTAAGTTAATCTCCTGGAGCAGTTGTTATTCTACTCTCAACAGCTGGAGTCCTGTCAGCCACAACTGATTCCTCCTCTTGCTCTGCTCTGGTCAATCAGTAGCTCGTGCAGGGGGTCGGAAATTGGGGAAAAGCGAAGAATCAGAAAATTCGAGAACGAGCGAGATGGGACATTAAGGATCTGGGCGGGTCGTGTGTGTGTGTGTGTATATAAACCAGGCTTTGTGTCATCCTCTGCTTCTCCTAGTTTACACCTGTGAAGGCACATCACTTATTGCTTTAGCAGTAATACCTGCTACTGATACCTTCAACGGACATTATTGATTCTCACCTTGGAGTTTGGATTGTTGCAAAGCTCATTCTGCCGCTCCTCCTAGTTTGAGAAATTCACAATGGAGCTGGCAGTTACTGAAGCCACTACCCAAACCACGGGGACCTCCAAAGGTTGCTCCAGGATTGCTAAGTTATCCTCCTCTTCCTCCACCTCATCGTTGGGTCTGTCCAGACATGTTGGTGTTCGAGTGTTGATGCACCGCGACATGACCTCCTGCAGATTCTTCCGATCCCCGCCTAGATCTTGGCTAAAAAAACACTTGGGTCGACTTGGAAAGGAGTCAAACGAACAGCCGCCCACCTCTTCATCCTCAGCATCCTCGTTTCCTCTTCGCCTGTCACCTTCTTGCTCTCTCTCACTTTGTTTCTCAACTTCTTCTTCTTCCTCCGTGTCTTCTCGTTTTCTCCTTTCATCAGTCTCTCGTCTTTCCTCCCCAGCGCTAAAAGACCGGGACAGGGAGCGGCAGCATTCGGGCCTAGCCTCATTACAGGCCCTGGGTGGCCACCCAGGATTTCATAGCACCCCAGGCATGACCGCTAGTTTGTGGGGAACAAGCACTCAGCCGCCTGCCGCCCATTCCACCAGCTACACTGCAAGCTCCAGCCTTGGCCACAGCCTCCGTCACCACAACAGCTCAGGGTGAGTGTCTCTGCCTTGCAAGTTGGACTTTTTCCTTATTTCTCTCTTTCTTTGAAACTGTTTCCTTTTTAACAAAGATTGCTCCTGAATGACAGTATTCATATTTTACCTGGAGTTCAAAAATCACAAGACAAATGAGCTATATTCCTCTTAAATCTATCATTTTGTAGATGTTTACTGGACCTGCTGTATGTTAATGCTGGATATTTTTAGATTCTTTGATGCTGAAATACTATTTTCTCTGTGCCATCGGATGTGTATTTATAGTTGACATATCAAGGCAAGCTGTCTTTGATAATATGTCTGAGTCTAGACGGCTCTCAGAACTGGACTACTTTCTGCTGCGTCTCTAAGAAAATATGTAACGAGATGGGAAGGCGGTGGGAGCAGGAGAGAGAGTCAGAGGCATGGGGAAGTTGTAAACAAGAGCAGAAGACAGGGAGTCGTAGATGGGCAACAATAAGTAGGGAAGAAGGAAAGAAAAATCTAGCTGCCTGTAAATGTACATGTTGGCTTATAAATAGATTTCAGGCTACCGAATACTAGGGTGATTACATTAGTCTCAGTGTCAGCATGTATGCCACCTTGGACTTGTGGTTGTCGTCCCTCAGATCCCTCCCTGGGGAGATGGATGAGACGGATGCTCTCCGCTCCAAACGCTGCAACGAAGACGCCATTTCCCTCGCTCCCTCCACCACCGAGTCCATCATCGTCGAAGGTGAGTTGACTCACTGAGGAGGGGATCGAACTTCGATTTTGAAAGTCACACTTTCCGCTCTCGGTTGTAATTGCGCACACTCGGTTGCAGAGTTAAAGCTTGTCTTAAGGGAGTTTTCTTAAATCCAGGGAGGAGGGTGTGAGGAGTGCATTTTGTGGAGTCAGGGTTGACCTCACCCTGTCTCATTAAGTTGTAGTGTGTGGGAGAGGAAGACAGGCTAACTGGGCACTAGCTTACTAAATGCAAAGAGCTACTGCACCAGCTTTTTCTCTCAGCTGCCCTGTTTTTTAAGGTTTATTGTTTATCAGGCACACACTTACCATGGAAGAGCTACTTCGTCTCTCTCCTTCGTCTTCTCTCCCCTCTAAATGATTTCATTGAAGAGACTGACCTAAACATGGACCCCCTACTTTGTGCAATTTCACGCCAAATGGGGAGCCAACCTTTTCTGTACTATAATACTGTAACGTGTCATGGTTTTTGATGCCTCTGGTCCTCTCCTCAGATGCTCACTTTACAGCAGTGCGGGCTGATCTTGAGTCTGATGCCCAGGACCTGGAGGTAGAGTCATGGAGTTTGGCGGTTGACCAGCAGTATATTAAGAAGCACTCTAAAGAAACGGTGAAGCGACAGGATGTGATTTATGGTAAGTGTGATTCCTACAGGACGTGTTCACATGGCCTAAGGAATCTAGTAGCTCATTGATTGGATAGTTGATCTTTTTTGACAAAACCTGGTGCCTATATTTCCCACAATGCAACTCCACCACTGACCGCTCAGTCGGAGATTCAGGTGTGTTATGCTAGTAGCAACTATTGTAGCCTCGAGCAGAGCGGGCACACTTCTTACTTACTCCTCAACCTCAGTTTTTAGTGACATCACTTCAGGCTTCAGTTCACATAGCTCCCTCAGGAGCCACAAAATGCTAAGTACAAGTTTTAAACATATTTAGTAATATTCCATAAGACCTTTTAAGCAGGCCTTGATGTGGTGGAGTTGTCCCTGACATTTTAGGATATTTTGCAAGGAACTATGTTAGCCAGGTGTATGAAAAGGAAACAAATAAGAGGAAAATAGGTTAAGGAAGGTTTGGATGGCATAAAGCACCCGTTGTGAGCTGGTCCATATCATTGCAATGCATTAAACGTGTATGTGTTTTACATGGCAGAACATTAACGTGTGACTTCATGTCGTTGTACAGAGCTCATGCAGACAGAGATGCACCATGTGCGAACACTGAAGATAATGCTGCGTGTGTATGTCAAAGAGTTGAAGGAGAACCTCCAGATGGACTCTGGCAGGCTGGAATGTCTGTTCCCCCGTTTGGAAAACCTCCTCGAGCTTCACACACATTTCCTGTCTCGTCTCAAAGAGAGGCAGCGAGAGAACCTTGTTTCGCCCAACGACAGGAACTACATTATCAACAGAGTGGCAGACATTCTGATCGCACAGGTAGGGAGGAGATGCGTAGAACTCGCATGCAAACAAACACCCAGCATTGATTTCATCAAACAAGATACAAAGAGTGACACATGCACAACAATATATGTAAACAGCATAATACATGTGCCATAGTGCAGTATGGGCCAGCACACAAACACAGACTGCGAAAACGGAACCGTTTTCTTTGTTCTCCAGTTCTCAGGGGAGATAGGAGAAAGGATGAAGGACAGTTATGGAGACTTCTGCAGTCACCACACGGAGGCTGTCGGCTATTACAAAGAACAGCTGCACAACAACAAAAAATTCCAGAACATCATACGGGTAAGACGCCTCCTGGTTTTTGATATCCGATTTAATACACACATCTGTAGCTGAGTGTATAAGGTTATATTAAATGGCCTTTTCCTTCTCAGAAAATCAACAACCTCTCCATTGTGCGGAGGTTAGGAGTGACCGAGTGTATTCTGTTGGTGACGCAACGCATCACCAAGTACCCAGTACTAGTGGAGCGCATTCTGCACAACACTGAAGGTCCAGTATTTCACATGCGTGTTTCTGCTAAATAAATCACTATGGAGGAGAGTAAAACCATATATTTAGTGAGGAATAACGTCACACATTTTACTTTAATTTTTCCGTATCCATCACATGTTTTTTTTTTTTTGTTTTTTTTTTGTCTGTCTCTAGCGGGTACAGAGGAGCATGAGGATCTGACTCGGGTGCTGGGTCTGATTAAAGACACCATCGTTCAGGTTGACATGCTGGTTAATCTCCATGAGAAGAACTCTCGACTCCGGGACATACACAACAAGATGGAGCCAAAGGCACTGGGAAAGATCAAAGATGGCCGAGTGTTTCGCAGGGAGGACTTGGCGCAGGGCAGGAGACGTATGCTGCATGAGGGCACAGTCAACTGGAAAGCTGCTTCTGGCAGGCTCAAAGGTATCATATGGCACGATGAAAAAAAAAAAAACTATCTAGGTGTACATATGTTTTGTGTATATATGTATTTATGTTATTCTGGTTCTTTTTGAAGAGTTTTGGAATGGATTAACATTATAAAAAGATACCCATACATATGAAATTCTGTCCTTCCAGATATTCTTGCGGTGCTTCTGTCAGATGTGTTGCTCTTGCTACAAGAGAAGGATCAGAGATATGTATTTGCTACAGTGGTGAGTGATTTATCCATTCAGTCAGCATGACACTATCTAACAAACACAATGTGCGAAGGCAAAACATTGAGTAATGTGCAGAGAGAAATGAGCAGAATTCAATCAACGATACTCTGTAAATGTCATAAATCAAACTCTATTACCTTGAAGTACCAGTAAACAAAAAGGCACACCCTTCTGTCTCTTTCCTTTTTCTTATTGTTCTCCACTCAGGATAACAAGCCGTCAGTGATCTCCCTTCAGAAGCTGATTGTCAGGGAAGTGGCCCATGAGGAGAAAGCCATGTTTCTTATCTGCGCCTCCTCCAATGAGCCAGAGATGTACGAGATCCACACCACCGCCAAGGAGGAGCGAAACTCTTGGATGACACACATACGGCAAGCTGTTGAGAGGTAGCTGCTTTTACACAGAGTAGAAATACATGACCGTTTGTTACTATTATTCACATTCTGTGAACATTTTTTGAACAAAACATAAGAAAGTTTGCTTTCTCTGTCTGTAATGTCTTTGGTCCTGTCCCCTCTTAGCTGTCCTCATACAGAAGAGAGGCTATTCAGCGAGGAGGAAGAGGCGCGAGCTTTCAGGTTCAAAGAATTTCAAGGTAACTGTAGATCAAGTAAGAAATGACTTGCATAAAGAAACCCCCCGGGAAATCATATAGTTGATGTGGTAGGCCACAAGGGGGTGCTCATGCATCATATTAACTTTAAAATTGTTAGAAGTTAGATTTAACTTTTTCTCTAAATCTCGTCTCAGTAGATTGAAACTGATTTAGGACAACAAAAGCTCTTTAAAACACCCACGGATATTTGGGGGTGGTAAAGGGTTGTTCTATAGATGCAGGAGTGAGCATGTGATAACACCACCTGCATCCCCCATCCTTTGTTTTAAGGATTTAACTCCTCTGCTGTTCTATTTCATGTTCCTCTCTGTAGAACGGCTGAGCCAGAAGGATACGGTGGTCGTCCAGGCTCTTACTGAGAAGCTGCAGCTGTTTGCAGACATGGCAGAGTCTGTGGCAGGTCTAGAGGACGCAGCTTCACGTTCCAGACTTCTGCTTCGAGGAGATGCCTCAGACCTCCAACAGGGGGAGGCCCTGCTCAAAGGAGCTATCACTGAGGGTAGGACAATGCTGCCATAATATGTATATCTGCTTTAGATACAGAGGTGGGAATTTCGTCAATTTTATATCCATGGACTGCTTGCTGCAGCTCTGTAATAAATCAGTAGGTATTGGCATTGTTGAGTTTGCAAACATTCCTGCTAAACATCTCCCTCTGTCCAGCTTTTCAACCTTAATTTGCTATCTCTCACTTCAGTGGAGAACCTGCAGAACCTGCTGCAGTCTGGAGTGAGGGAGGAGGCTCCGACCTCCCGGCTGGAGGAGGGGAGCGGTTCCGGGGTTCTGCCCAGGCGAGCGGATACCTTCGGGGGCTATGACAGCAGCCCCACCATCCTCAGTAAGAGTGAGTCCAGCACGATCCATGCCCTGAGGAAGTCGACCATCTAATGGATTTGCAATTGTATTTCATTGGCTTTTATGCCATTTAATAAACCATGAATTATAAACACATTTCATTCCTTGAATTGGTTTTATTGGTTGAATTCATGTGTATGGTTTTACATGTGTATGTGTGTTGTTTGTGAGCGTCAATATTTCTGTTTGGTTTAATTACTTGTGTGTGTTTGTCCCCGTGTCCCTTTCTGTGTGTCGGTGTGTCTGTGCCAGATGGCAGTGTGAAGAAGAAGTTTTCTGGCGAGACCAGAAGCAGAGATAGAAGCCAGAGAGCCAGCTCTGACCCTCAGCTCAAAGACCTTTGTCGCAGCCACACCCTGGAGCAGACGGTACGCGCTCAACATGCACACAGACAAACGGCACATCTCGGGATGAGTCACAGTGTTATTTCCTGTAAATAGTAATGACCAGACCAAGTCATCTGGAAAGTTTCCATGTCCTGATGTTTACTGTAACCCTGCTCTCGCAGGTCACGTCATTTGTTTATGAATAGATAAAGCCTCGACAAAACAAGAATGAGGACGATCAGGCAGACACAGGCAGACACAATGTAACGACATGTTGCTGTCAGTGAGCCGTGTGTGAGAAACAAAGTTGTAATTATATCTGACAAATGAATTAATTCAGTTTTTTATGTCCAACCTATTCTAAACCGTCTTTCTTTGTTTCGCTCTGAGACAGAAAATTCTCCTCGTTGAATTACTGATGAATATTTTATATCTTATGCTGCTCAGCTCTCATATCAAGGTTGTGGAAACAAGTTTTTAAACACTATTTGACATAGAGAATAGTATTAGTTGTACCATCCTGGCTAATAACAACCGCTCAATAACATTTCTTTAGTATTTTAGGATGTACAGGAATGGGAAAAAAACAAGAATATGTGCATAGTGTCTGTTTTTTTTGTACACCAAATATAGCAAATATACAATAATTCCATTTAAAAAATACATATGACCACAGCAAATTCCAAAAAACATTCTAAATGTTTTTACAGTATCTGTTTTCTACTTTTTGTTTAGTATGTAGTGCTGTGTACAGTACTCCTAGTGTGTGTGATGTTTAGTATGACCTGCTGTGTGTTGTTGCTCAGGTTGATGAGAGCTGCTGCTCTCCTGCCAGATGGAACCACATCTGGTCCAACTCCTTCCCCGAAGCTGAGGTAAACTCTCCTTCTCTGAACTGTCACCTTGTGCTTCACACTCTGCTGGATTACATATTCATAAGCAATGCCTTCTGAACTGAAAATACGTACCCATGAGAAGTTTGCACATTATAAATACTGTGTTGTTTTTGTGATTCTGGTAGTTATTTGGTTATGATAAGCTTGCCTGTGTCTCTCTCCTAGTTTTTTGACAGAGTGCTGATGCTCTCCCAAAGGCTCTACAGTCTGCAGGTACTACTGTCCCCTCCACTGTTAATGATGTAGTCAGCGAAAGAAACGAGTTGAAGCGTGTGGTGTATATATATGTATGTTTGCAGAGAGTTTGGCTTACTTAAACTTGATAACTTTCAAAGGTCTTGGATTTCTGTTTCACTGTCATGGCGTATAAACATTGTCTTGGTTCTCTAATGACCTTGTGTTATTTTTCTCTGTCGCCAGGCCATCATTTCCCAGCAGGACAGTCACATCGAGCTGCAGCGGGCCTCGTTGACAGAGCGGGCCTCCCTGCCCGGCCGCCACAGAGGGAACGTGCTCCTGGAGCAGGAGAAACAGCGGACTCTGGCTCTGCAGAGAGAGGAGCTGGCCAGCTTCCACAAGCTGCAGTCTCAGCACCGGCAGGAGCAGCAGCGCTGGGAGAGGGAGCGTGAGAGGCACCGGCAACAGGTCGAGGCCAACGAGGCCAGGCTCCGACAAAGGGAGGAGGAGTGCAGACGGCTGGGGGTGAAGTGCTCTGTCCTACCTTAGAAAAAGATATGTGTGAGAGGCTGAACTTCAAGACCTCGCAGCGCTGCTTTATATTTTAATTTACAGTTTCATTGTTCTCTGTGGGATTTTCAAAAAAAGGAATAAACTGTTCATATAGCGCTCTAGTGTCCTTTCAAGTTAATGTCTGTCATGTGTGTACATTTTGAAGGTTAGCTAAAAAAAAAAAAAAAGTACAAAAAAAAGAATTACAGTATGTAGTAATGCAGCACTACTTGTTCTTTTGATGCAGGAGCATCTGGCAGAAGAGAGGAAGGAGCTGGAGAGTCAGAGGGAGACGTACCAGCAGGACCTGGAGAGGCTGAGAGAGTCCACCAGAGCCGTGGAGAAAGAAAAGGAACGTCTGGAACACCAGAAGAAGATCAAGAGGAAGACTATCGAGGTGGGAAACCTGCTGTAGAGATGATGGCTTGAATACAGAAATATCTCAGAATGCCTGTACTAACCATACAAAACAAGACTTGCAAGCTAGCTATTGCTAGCAGAGATACTATTTGATTTATTCAAAATGATGTGCATCATGTGGATCCTCGCAGCCACACAGACATGGAAACTACAAATGAAGCTGTAGCTAACGAACTTGTCAAATTTGTTCCGTTTGCGATGCTATGTGATTTATTTCAGATACTTCAACATATTTTTCAGTTAACCCGGGTCCTCAGTTTTTGGATTTGTCAGCTTATAAAAATGTAGTTCTGTTTTTTTCACAGTGCATCCCCAACACACAGCAGCTGTTAGGCATGATTCTGTTGTTTGCTAGCAGATACAAGTGACAAGGAGGCAACTTCACACAATACAAAGTCAGTGGAAAGCAATTCATTGTTTTCTCCTCCGGTGTGAGTGGGACTTAATTGTCTCTATAATTTGTTACATAAAAAAAAAATGCTTTTGAAAAACATGACTTTATAAATTGGAGGTCATAAAAGACTATTCTACTGCACCTTAAGTTGTGTGTAAGTAAGTTGAAATGGAGGATACGGGTGAGGTGCTATGGTGCTGGTGACGATGAATCACAGGATAAAGAATAAGAAGGGGCTTTCCCATCTCTCTTGTTTCCTTTTTTTCTGTTGCCGTTTCCTTGCATCTCTTTTTTTCCTTCCATTCCATCCCCTGGGCATGAATCCTGTATCCACCCATTCAAGGTACTCAAGCATCTGAAACACTGATGGGCTGAATATATGAATGAAAGAAAGTTTAGTTCTTGAGTTCAGGTGCTCTGACGGGTATAAAAGAAACTCTGGTTTCAGCTCCCACCGCCTGATTCATAGAATGATGAACACACATACGAATGAACACATCTCTAACCACTCAACCCAGGAATCCACCTATGCAGGGAGCAGTCTTTCTCTTCACCTCCGTTCCTCCTCTCTCCTCCACAATGCGGGTCATTGTTGTGAGTTTCATGGGAGAGAAGCTTTGAGAAAGATCCGCTGACTGTAATTTCATGCCCGGTGCTAAAAGATCCATCAAGGAGCTGCAGTAATGATACTTGATGTCAGCCTTTAGTATTTTCAAAGGCCTGCATCAACATCTCAGTTTAGTTGGTTACGAGTGACTGTAGCATGGGAAGTGTTATCTTTATACAAACTTAATTTTCTCATCGAAGATGCAGACCAGCAGTGGCGTGTGTGCATGTATGTGTATGTGTATATGTATATGTGTATATACAGTATATATGTATGTATGTATATGTGTATATGTGAAAAATGGAAGTGGTTTTGTTTACATTTGAAAAATAAATAAAACCAATTTCAGTTTTTGGCAACTAATCCAGCAAATTAAAGACCTGACATAACAAAATACTTCATAAAATTAATGAAAAATAACTTAAAAATCCAATACAAGAAATGCAAAAGGGGGCGGTACAAAAATATATTCGACCCTATTTACAAAGAGTTATAGAAATCATATGAGAGTACAGCAGCTTATTTGAAGTCAAAACAACCAAACAGACTTTGTCTAAGGCTACAATTAATGATGAAGTATTTTTTAGGTTTTCATTGTCAAAACTACCCTGCAATATTATATTATTTTCAGGCGAAATTGCCCATCATCATCATCATCATCATATCGTAAACCTTACCCACAGAGTTCTTCATCGTGAGCGGTTTCCTCATCACTGTATGTTGTGAGTCTGTAAGCACTGGAGTCTTGGTCGCTCCTCTCGGAGCTGGTGCACATGATTTTCCTGTATGATGTACGCTAGTAACCGATGGCTGATTTTGTAATTTCCTATTAAATCGGTGGGTTGATATTTTGAAACAAGCAATCTAGATATAGAGAGGAGCATGAACGTTGGTGACGGCTCCACCTCCTGAGTCACACACATGCTGTCATCAGGTGGAGGCCATGCAAAACACACCCAATGACGGGATTGTTCACTCTGACTAATGTGCCAATTTAAGAGCAGCCGAAACCTTCCCGCTGGATGAGTCGGTGTGTTTTTCTGTTTCTGTACAGACTAACTGAACAAACTGGATTGCTTTTTTCCAAGAAGTGATGTCTCCAGTGATGTCGCTAGTCCCTCTCTGCTGTCTGACATTCCTACCTGGTTCAAGCCTGACAGTTATCTGTGATTGTCCAGTGCCTTTTCATCCTGCATACCAAGCTGAGTAACTGACAGATGAACCAATGCCGTCCGTTCAAGTCCTGACTTGCCCCCCCCCCCCCCCACCCCAAAAACAGCTACAGTGTTTTTGCAACTCTGCATTCCGTTGTTTTATTGTCATTCATCTACTGTAGTGTTACATCCTCAAACATCTGGCTGCCCATCAACCATCCAACGGATTTAACTCAAGTCGTACACATACACGACCAGCTGACATGTGTTATTGCGTTTATCATCTCATTACTGGCTGCACAAGGCAGGCCTTAGACTGTGAGTTGTACCTAGAACACTTCACAGTAACTCCTGGAAATCCACAGCCGCTGGCTGAATTGACCTAACGTGCTGTGGTGAGTAATGCAGGGACCCTGGTAATTACAGAGGCCTTCACTGAAAGTCATAGTAAGTAAGATTGTTGCGTGGTTTGTTTGTTTGTTACATGGACTGCAGGATAAGACCCCAAACAGATCAGATCCAGCCCCTATCGGCACTCAACACCCCATTAAATCCTGCCCATAATGTTTGTTTTCGATGAGCTAAGTAGTGTGTTTTGTACACATGCAGATGTATGGGTTGCCTTTCTATACTGTTGGCCGTGCTATGGGAATCTCTCGGCTGCGGTTATGGGAGATTTGGAAGTAGTTTGTTCCCCCTCTGCATCAAACACATCAAGCGGTCTTTTCATCAGCTGTGACCTCAGGATCTGTTCCAGGCTTCGGGCCAGCCTGATATCAACAGACATTTAATCACCAACACCCAACATTAAGACACATCAGCAAGCCAGGAGAGCTATGATTAGACCTCATAAAAAGAAAAGTGTGTGTGTGTGTGTGTGTGTGGGGGTGTGTGTGTGGGGGTGGGTGGGTGGGAACATAAACGAGTGTTTGTGCAAAGGTGGTGCTAGTTGCGGCATGTCCTGGCTTCAGAGGAACCTCTTCTTTCATGTGTTATCTCATGTGATCACACTTGGCCCCTCGATAAGAAAGGCTTTTGGATCTGCTCCAACCGAGCCTTTTGTCTGACTGCTTTAGTCCTGTGTGTTCATAATCAAGGGTAGACATGGAGTTAGCTATTTGAATGTCAGTCAGGAAAAGAACAAGATCTAGAAAGACCTGCACAATACAGCAAGAGTCGGTGGAAAAAAACTGCCCCCTTTTGATGTAAGGAAATCTGAAAAGAAACTGGGATTATGACTAAGGTCAAAGGTTCAGTTCCCAGCCTGTTGGGGAGGTCTTTATGGGGAAATGCATCTAGAATAACCGGTGCAACTTTTTAGATATGCCTTCAGGCAAAGCCCTCAATTTTACAACCGCCCCTTTCTCCTGCTTTTTTGCTCACGAGCAGAAAACTGTAAAACTGGATTACTATCTGGTATGAATAACTACATGAACATGACAGAGGATATTGCTAAAATCTCGGGAAGATTGCCAAAGCTCAAAAGAAACTTTAAAAGGTCGGTGGTAAATCGGTGACCCGTATCTGAGTTATCTCGTCCCCTGTTTTGGCCTCAGGCTGATTTACGATGCTGTTCCTGTGGTCTGAAAAGCCCCCGAAGAGCAACACTTGCACATCAACACCCTTACCATGTGTACACACACACACACACACGCACGCACCTAGATGCCTGTGACTCACTTCTTCTATAACCAGTTAGTAGCGGTTGCTTTGAGAGGCTAAGATAGAATACGAGCTTAAGGGAAGATATTTTCTCTTTACGCCATCTGCCAACGAAACCGTCCTCACCTGTTTTCTCACACTGTGTACCGTCCTTCAGCTGAAATATTGTCAAATAACCCAGAGTTAATTTGCTCTGTGAGAGTTGCATATAGAATAAGTTGCACATTTCTGTGCATCTTGTTTGTTTCCAGTCATCAATTCTTGAGCTGTGGGGAATGTGATGTAATGATTACTTGTATTATTGATGAGTCTGCACACCATCGATCAATCGTTTGGTCAATAAAACATCAGAGCATTGCAAAACAATGCCCATCACTATTTCCTTGAGTGCAAGGTCATGTCATCAAATGTCTGGTTTTGTCCGACCAAAACAATTTTTTATTGATAAACTATTTGGAAGATTAAGCAATTTGTATTGACTAATCACTTCAGCTCGAATGTGATGTCCCAGGAGTATAAATTGCTGAGTCATTGCTCATCAGAAAACCTCATACAGAACAGTGTTTGCTCAGCTTGTATGCATTGTATGAATTACTTGGACACAATTTGATTTGGAATTGTACCAATTTAAGGCTACAGTGTTTGCCATTAATCCACTGCAGATCAGAGCTGCACATACTACAAATACTCAAGTCAATACCTCACACACGTTACTGCGCCACACATCATCTAATCCAGGTGAGATTCAATATCCGGTATCTTCTTTCCACCGCTGTCACGTTGTGAACAACGCCACATATGGTGATATGTGAGTATCCAGGCAGTTTTCAGGACGAGAGAAACAAGGCTGTGTAATTAGCTAGTCCAAGCCTGCCATTAACCGAAGCCTCTGGACGGCAGCCAGTGCTAATTGTTTATGTGCTGTCAGTCAGGGCTTCTTGTGCTCTGTAGCTTCCGCACAGTTTACTGCCCTGGAAACCTGCTGTTTGTGCCGCTTCGAGCCGATCACCTTGTCCCTGGGAACAATACAACATCTGTGTGCCGAGATGAGTGAGTGCTGAGTGAGGGGAAATGATGGAGGGAAAGGAGGTATGGAGACTTTCCCACTGCGGGGCCCCTCTCTGCCTCGGGTCCCGTCATGCTCTGCTGTTACAACTGGAGGAAGCTACAGTGTCCTCACACACAGAGTCACAGTCACACGAGTCTGCCTTTCATGCCTTGTAAAACAAGGTCATCATGTGTTCCCCTTATCCACAGGAAGTATTCGGCATCATCATCAATCATGTAGCACGTGTGCTGCATACCAAACAGAACGGTCACAGACGATTGCCAGACTTTAGGTTAAATACGCTGCAGTTAAAGCTGGTGTTGCACTGATCGGATGTAGGTCCATTGTATCATCAGCTCTGAGATATTGGTTTGCTTACATAATTGTTATTTAAAGCGGCTTCGAGAAAACTTTTACTTTAGTTACTTGTAATGCAACATCCATATCTGATTCCTTATAATGAATTAATATGTATTTTTATTCGTCCTCTTGTCGTTTTAATGGACACTTTTACATGTTTAAGAGGCTTTTAAAAAGCTCTTTTCAGATTGGAACTGGCCTGCAGTTACAGTCTAGGTCATGAACTAACGTTTCTCATCTTTTCTTCTCTTAATCTTCTAATCACTCTTAGCTAAAATTGGTATGATAGAAATAGCATGGTCTGCTTGTATGTTTCTGATTTATTCTGAAAATAAAACATTCAAGCAAACCAGAAGATATAATAATAGAATTTGTTTAATTGTTTGTTTAATTGTTGTTTGAGAATTGTTTCTTAGAGATCTCAGTTTAGTTCAGTCTGTATGTTTGAGACCATTTCAGCAATCCATCTTTGGAAACATGGGGACGAGGAGGACTTCCAGTCCACTAAGATTTGTCTTTTAGAGTACTTTATGTAGATTGAAAGCTGATTCTGAACAGCCAAAAATGTACTGATTGTTACCTTTTGTATTGACATTTACATTTAATGTGTGATGAATATCCTTTAGCAGCACAATGGGTCACAATGTTGTAAAAGAGCTTTAAACCGTCCAACTATAACAACACTGTGTAGAGATTCTTATTATAGTTCATGTTATGCAACACGTGGCATTACTAACACAAACAAACACTGCACCACTGTATTGTTGCAGGAACCCTCCTGGTTAGTCTCATTGAATGCAGATTGGAGGATAATGTTGACTCCATCTCTAGATCCTATTTCCCTCAATCTAGTAATGAAGTGGACAATGCAGTCAGTGTCTTTCATCCACTGATGTCATGAGTCATTTTCTTGTTGCCCTGCTTTTCTAACAGCCCGACCTGTTTTGTTCCTGTTTTGTTAGACACGCCTTTATGTGCACAGGGACTATTAAGGGTTTATGTTTCTCATTTTGTGTGTGTGTGTGTGTGTGCGTGTGCGTGCGTGCGTGCGTGCGCGCATTGTCCTTGAGTCTCTTGGAACACATCAAAAGCCTTTTACCAAACCGTGTGCTCAGCAGAAACCGTTGCATGTGTTTCTGATTCCCTCTGTAGCCCATGAATACCCGACTCGGCAGATTGTGTTTCTGTAATGACAGTGTTGCATCGATGATTTATAGTTTGCATCTGCTTTTTAATGTGTGTGTCTTCTGTAAGACGTTGTCTTTTCTGCAGACATGTACTCTAACAGGATGTGTACACACATACGCACACATATAACGTGCAAACTTGACGTTCCACAACTCCTGATTCCAAACTGAATCTGACCACAAATATGGATATTACAGGGCAAAGTCGGGAAGCCATTCCGTCTGAACTTGAATACAGATTTTGAAGTCTTATGTGATGGTATTTGCTACGATTGAAGAAGGCTTTAGTCCCCTCTCAGCAAATAACGTCCATTCTTCTCCTCCAGGTGGCTCCTTTGTCTGGCAGTCTGAACGGGGAGCTCCTCATGTCCTCGGGCCTCAACACCTTCACCAGTGTCTCCGACCTGCCTCCCCCTCAGAAGCCCCTGGTGCGGGCCAGCCTCTCTGTCGCACCTGCCGACTATCCGGAGCGCCCTGAAGTGATGTTGCGGCGGGAGGCGAGCTCTTCCACCCTGCCGCTGAAGACGGAGGTGCCGCTTCATCTCTTCAGCACCACCAACCAGCAGCACAAACTGGTGGGGGTGCAGCAGCAGATTCCCACCAAGCTGGCCGCCTTCAGCAGCGGAAAAGGGAAAGGAGGCAAGATTGGCAAAGCCTCGCATCGCACTGACAGCTCCGGTAAGGAATTAGACCTCAGATACTGAGTTTCACAGGACGTGCTGCAACTAGCACCGTGCTTCCACATTGCTTCGGGTTACATTTGTGTTGCTTTCCATCTCCGTGTATAAACATCTCCCGATGATAAGAATCAACGGTAACAGAAGTGCACACACGTCTTTACTTGCAAGTCTGATTGATAAACGGTAATATACATAATCATATGTGTGCATTCTATGGCTGCAACTCACACTTTTTCTAAAAATCGACTGTTTATTTATTTTTTATTAATTGTTAGTCTATACAAAATCCACTACAATTCCCTCCAGCTTAAGAGTGACCTCATCAACGTCTTTTTTTGGCTGTACAGTCCAAAACTCAATAATATTCAATATAAAACGATGTAGGAAGGAAAAATCAACAATAATCACATTTGACAAGCTGGAATCATTAAAAGTAATTTTTGCTGGAAACACGACTGAAATGTTTTATAGATTATTAGAAGAGAATGGGTATTTTTCTGTTGGTTGATTAATCGACTAGTTTTGCATTTGTCTTGTAACTGATATTTTAATGGAAGCATGACTCAGTATCACCCTGCAATCTCCCAAAAACTGTGAGTGAATTGTTTTTTTAGAGTAAACGTGCAGAGGAAGATGCTATTCTCCTTACAAAGGGAGCAAAGAGTGGAGTGCATGACTTGTCTGTTACTCTTACAACAGCCATCATAAATATTCACTCTTTCACAAAATATGTTTGAGTGTTGCATTGAGGGTTTCTCCTCCTCTCTTACTCTTGCAGGTGATGTATAATCGTGCAGTATTTTCTCTTTTAAAAAGGATTTTTTTTTCTCACTCCCTCTTCATCGATTTTCAAGCCATCTGTGGCTGACACGAGCTTGACCTGATCAGCATGATTTAAGTGATCACATTAGCTGTCTAAATTGGGTCAGCCATCTCATTTATCAAATAGTGGCCTAAGAGAGGCTAGGCTTTACTTTACCAATGCAATTTAATTTTACAATTAAATCACCCTCCTCCCTCCCTCCTCATCCTAGCCTCAGTGGATATGAAGCAGATGCTGCCGCTGAAGCTGTCCGCCCGAGATGACAACGCCCTTAAGGCCAAGCGGTCCGTCAGCCCCCACCAGCCGCTTCCGCTGTCAACACCTCCTCAGCCTCTTCCCCTGCATCATCACGCAGGTACCTTTTCTATACTCACGAGCGCACACACTTCCTCCTTTGCTCTGTCGAGGCAAACCCAATCTCCTCTCGTCTGTCTTTGCCAACTGCATTATTAAACTTGGTTCTCACAGGCACAAACATGAGACACACACACACACACACACATTCTCCACCTGCGCAGACCGGACCCCACCCGATCACGTTCCTGTCTAAAGCTTGTATTCATGCCCAGCCTCACCCTGTTTAAATACCTATCAATTGCACATGCCTCACTGATTAATGACGCGCTGTACTGCCGACAGACATTTTAACACTTTAATCCTGTGTCCTCACAATTACCACCGACAGGATTTCAGGTGATATATTTCAGTGAGGCTGTGTAAGCCCAGCTTTAATAGATTAATCCTTTGTACCTGTTTGTCGGCCCTTTTTAATGTTATTTTTGGAGTAATCCCTTGTTCTCTAATAGCCTTCCTTGTTTGTCTGTGACAGATCAACTCAGTCCTCCAGACAATGCTGGGCCAGACACCCAGTCCACCTCCTCCATCAGCATCTCCCACCCTCAAAGTCTTCAGAAGCCTCCCATGCCTTCTGCACAGTCCCATCCTCAGCCTCCCACCATCCCTCCCCACTCGCAGACCACCGGCTCCCTCCAGTTCCAGTCCCATCTGCAGCCGCAGGGCCTCAGTCCGAACGCCCAGGCCCATGTCCAGGTAAATGCTCACGGGCTCACCCACAGCCACAGCATGCCGCCACCTTACAAGATTGCCACAGAAGACCTCAACAAGGAGGATGTCATCTTCTTCTAAAGTCCACTCAGATCAACCGCTGATCGCAAAAAAAAAAGAATTATGGGATAGTTGCTTCCATGCGTCTCATTCTAAGGAGCCACTTACTGTACAGGTGTGGTGTTATAGAGGGTTTATGAAGTAAGGTGGTTTAAATACCTGTACAAAGCTGCAGCAGAGCGCTTGTTAGCACTTCAGTCGCTCATGAAGAAAGACAAATGTTATTCAAGACGTTTTACATTTTAACATTGTTCCCCCTTCTTTGTTTTAAAGATGCCTGTTTCTTTTTATTGAATTTTTAGTTTAGTTTCTTAACTCGAGAGGACAACAAGTATGAGGAGGAAACATCTGGCAAAACAAAGGCTTCTTGTAACGTGTATGAAAAAGGTGTAAATGAAGTTAAGCCAATCCAAAGACTTGAGCCGCGAGACCAGAACAGGGTTTGACTGAAGGAAGCAATGTAAGAAAAACAACGGTCGGGTCATTTTTCAGGACACTGCGGTCAGCCTGTTTAGTGCAAGGTGCAGAGGCCTGAACTACCTGCTTCTGCTGAACCCGGAACAACAAGAACTGATTCAACAGGAACTCAGAAATGACCCGACTCCTAAAACAGGAACACTTTCTGCTCGGTGTTTCATGTGCACAGTGTGAATACTCCATTCCAGACTAATGAATGAACACTGATGGACTAAATGTGTATTGTTTGGGTGTCAAAATTGTGATGGTTCATTGTGATGGTTCATTTTGTCGTTTTTGTCCTTCTTAACCATGCTGATTACCGAACTGTGGAATACACTGCTCGTGTTGCGACTGGTTGTGAAACCTGAAGCTAACTTTTTTTTTTTTTTTCCTTTCCCCCAGGCTGTTGTTTAAAAATGCTTAATTTCAATTAAGGGAGATTTCACCTCCAAATTCTACTGTTTTTCCAACTCATGCAGTCCGAGACAAAGTCAGGGACATCTTTACTACGTCTGTTCAACTAGATTCTACGTGAGATTAGTCTACTTTAGGGCTTTTCTTGCATTTCTTAGAAGTAGCTCTTGTAAAAAATACAGAGGTTGTTCTATTCAGTCATGATCCTTTTTATAATAATTCTGAACGTTTCATCCGGTTGCATTTTTGTTTCTGCCACCATGTCCGTGAGCTCTAACAGCAATGGGTTAGCTGATTGATAAAAGATCACTTCTTTAACACAGAAACATGTCAACTCGAGTATGAACTTGAATTGAATCAACCTTTTAGAGTTTAAAGGTATATTTCCCAAACTGTTAGAAGAGCTGCTATTGACCACATGGACCTCCAGGAAATGAGCTCAACTTTGCACCGTTGAGCATACTGAACCCGTTAGACACACATGTTGCATTTCACTAAAACTATCCTTTTTAAGAGAACCATCTTTGAGAAACACATCTGTTGCCATTTAAATGAAACCATAGTTTGTTTTTTTTGTACAATTTAATTTTTCAGAAATTTTTAACTGCTTCGGGAGAGAAAATAGAAAATTTGGATCTTTGGAAAGAACAAAAGTAATAATCACAACAATTTGATTCAGAGTTGAAATGCGTTGAACGTTGTAATTGTGAGCGGGTGCAGTGGTCCTGCAGCACAAATGATATGTTTCTATACAAACGGATAATCACTTTGAAACCAGAGCATACACAAACAATGAATCAGATGGGGTGTTGAAGTTTATGGGGTATTTATAGTTATTATCAGGATATGAGCTCATCTGATACAGTTGTAGAAGACATTGTTTTTGTGTACACCATCTCTTAAGCACAACAACAACATGAATGTGAACATACTTGGTGGTCCGAACTCGGTACATGAAGAGTTCATGTTTTTGACAAATCATGTGTTTGAACGCTTGTGTCTCTGTGACTCCATTTTGCTGAATTGACAGTAAATTTGTCAGGATGGGTTTCTTTTGGCAGAGCCGATATATCGTTGAGATATTTATGAAAATGTCAGTTTTAATATAAACCCTGAGGTCTCATTGACGGTGTGTTTTATTGATTGCTGATGACATTTCGTTAGCTGGGTCTTAAATCTCTGTGGCTGGTAGAGAAGCGGTACTGTGACCGGGGGTGCGGTGGTCCTGCAGCAGAAAAACCACTGTCAGCCGGTCTTTATCTTCTCCCCACAGAAGAAATATGTCCATGTGATTGTCTTTCTCAGTAGATACGTGAGAAGCCTTTAAATCATGAAGTCGTTGACACAATAATGTGTTTTGTGTCTCTGGAGGGACAAAATGTCAGAAGAGCTCTTTGTCTTTGTCCAGTTAATCTTGTCTCTGAAGCTGTGATCGCTAGCTGGAGTTTGAGCTGTTTATGTATATTATGTATATTGTTGTACATACTTAATGTGATCTCTTCCGCACATGCTTCCTTTTACGCATTCTTGTAGTAGGAACGGAGATATTTGACGTGCGTCACGATGCAAAAGTCAGCCAAAATTCTGTGTCTGCATATGTGTATAGACACACACATGGGTGTGTGTGTGTGTGTGTGTGTATAGGACGGTACGCCCTGCTTGGATAGACTCGTGGCAGTTTAAGGAAACCACAATCAGCCATTGCTGTTGAACATTTGCATATTTAATCTCCTGCTGTTTGTTGATGTTGTCTCATTGAAGCCAAGGTGCACCCTGTGTTGTCTTTCTCCAGCAATTCATGAGTGATGTTTCACCAATATTATGTTAGAAGTCCTGAAAACAAAATCAGTTTCAGTTGGTTAAACCAAAGACGCATTGGGCCGGGTTCCTGTCTGTGCTCTTATGTGAAGGATAAATGACACTGTGCTGTTGTGTGGTCATCCACAAAGTGTTATTACGTATTAAACATCCTCCAGGCAGGGTCCACAACAAGTGTGTTTACAGTACACTGAGGGCCAGCTCATATTCTATCCTCTCGTCCTCATCTGAAATATCTCTGTCTAGATAATCTCTTTGACACCAGAGCATACACAAACACTGAATCAGATGGGGTGTTGAAGTTCCCTAATATTCTGGTTTATAGTGGCACAACCCAACTACAGCATCTGAGTTTATCATTATCAGGATATGAGCTCATCTGATGCAGTTGTAGAAGACATTGTATTTGTGTACACCATCTCTTAAGCACAACAACAATGTGAACATACTTGGTGGTTCTCATTGGATGGAGCCCTATAAAAACATCAATACTTACCCAGACTTTGACACAAAGGTCTCAACTCAACCTTCATCGACAAGCTTTTTTGTCGGAGCTTTCAACCATATGACACAAGGCAATGCTTAACTCACCGGCCAACACGGACAGGAAGTCAATGAGCAAACTCCCATCTGCTAATGAAGACCATGGCATTTGGTTGAAAGCTCTGGAGGGAGCCATTAAGTGGAGATTGAGTTGGGATTGGTTTTGTCAAAGAACGTTTTCAGGCAGCAGGAGAGCTGGTGTAGAACCTCCACAGAAGAGGAGGATGCTGCCCTGTTGGTGCCGCTGTTTGGATCAACTCGAGTCTTAAATGTTCTTTCGCTTTACTGAAATGCTTAACCTCTTTGCTGCGTTTTAAAACTTTGAAGCCAGTCAGTCACATCACTGTGTGTTTATGTTTGTGTGTGTGTGTGTCTGTGTGTGTGTGTGCGCTCTCCACTAAAAACACAGCGGAAACATTTCTAACCGACTTGTTTCCAGTCGTGTTTTTTTTGTAATACACACACTCATAGGCGCATATTGGACTTGTACTGTGTAAATAATAATGAACATATTGTATTTCCTCAGCCAATTTTACACTAGTCACTTTGGATAGTAGCATACTTGAAGGGGAAAATGAATGTTTATAATGCTTATTATTATTGTCTGTGAACTTTTATTTACCGAGAGCTGTCTAATGACGTTTGTAGCGCACAGCAGAACTGATTTTTGTACCGTTTCATTTTATTCACCGCAAGACATTAGAACGACCTGTGGACACAAACTGCTGCCTTAGAGAGAGTTTAGTAATAAAAAAAAAAAAGTCTTGAAATGATTTTTGTATTTGTTGTCCTTTTTTAGATCACAGCTGACAAACACTAATTGTTTTGTTTGCTGCATACGTGGATCATTGCTATTTAGGCGAAAGTCAAGCATGCAATGATTCCTATTCAAGTCAATTTGTATTTACAGGGATTTGCTCTTCCTCACCGGCCCAACAACTACCACATGTAACATATAATTCTGCCTCAATATTTATTGTTCTGTTTGCTGCTTGTCAAAAATAATCCTGACCACCCAATTAGATAGCACCCCAGCCATTCCTCCGTGTCTAGGAGGTGCAGTAACAGTGTTATTGACCCTGTGAGGAGACGACCTAATAACAGTCTATTCCCAGACAAAGCTCTATTTCAGGTGCTGTGGTTGTGGCTGTTCAATCCCGCTGTAGACCTGGCTAGGGGCAGCGACCGTGGCTCACTGGCTTAAGAGGGTTGTCTGGTAACTCGACTGGGACGTGTCGCGTGTCGTAGTGTCCCTGAGCAAGACACTGAACCCCCGGCTCCCCGGGCGCCTGTCATTGGCAGCCCACTGCTCCCTATATACAGGGATGGGTCAAATGCAGAAGTCAAATTTCGTGTATGACAATAAAAAGGGTTTCTTTCTTTCTAAGAGCAGGGCTGTCGGTTCCTGTGTTGTTGTCATTCTGGCTGGGAAAACGCTACAGTACTGGCCTGTTTTTATTGTCTGCTGTCATTAGTGGCTTTCCTCTTGTCTCCTCTCAACAATTATATTTCCAGGCTGCTTCCCCTGTGGAGAGAAGCTGCATTTTACTCCCGTCTTTGTTTCTGTCTCGTTCCTTCCACTGCTCTGCTCTTTTCATGTCTCTCCGTCAATTCCTCTCTCATCCAACGTTTCCAAATCCTTCTCAACTCAACCGCCTCACAGCTCGCAGGAAGTCATTCTGTTGTTGTTCTGTGTCGGAGGCACTTTTCACCGCAAAGTTAACCAAATAGACGCTCCGCAGAGACAGACGTGCAGACGAGCCTCCCTGCAGGCTCATAAAACGCTGGGACAAATCTTGGTTTGATAGACTCTGTGTCAGCAGTTGGTTTGTATTTGTTTTTGCTCTTCCGTTAACAGCTTCTCTGCACTTTCCAATGCAGATTGGAATGAGCTGTTTAAAGAGTTCAGCCTGGCTATTGAGCAACACCACAGTTAAAATTCAGGGGGTTCCCAACCTTTCGGTCCAGTGAACACACAAAATCAAGCAGTATCCACTTGCAACACTGGTCACTGGTTGAGCGGTTTCCCTTTTGTCTTATTTGAGTAATCACAAGATGTCTGATTATAATAATACCTCCGATAAGTTACCTTCTGGTAACCATCAATGTCTGTATACAATTTTAATGGCAATCCATCCAGTTGTTGATCAGATGATTCAGTCAGGACCAATGTGGTGGAACTGACAGACATTGCTAATAAAGCAAACATTAGGGAAATATATAAAAACATTATTTCTGCTTTACATTTCCGTTTATTGTTTGCAACCCCTTAGCTTTATCTCACGTCCCTTTGTGGCGATCAGGACCCTTTGCAGTTTGGGAACCACTGTAACCTGCAATGTTTTTAAACCAGATTACACCCTTCTCAACTTCCTGCTTGCTATTTTTTTAACTGCTGCTATGAAGGAATGTGCTTCACGGCTGCTTATCTGAGTATTGTTTCATCACTCCTGGCTGACACAAAGATCCTCTTGTTGAAAAGACACAAAGCGCACTCTATCTCTCCTCTTTTTTAACACCCAAGGTGATTTCAGGAAGATAGCCGGCAGAAAAAACATGTCTCTCAGCCAAGGCTGCTTCAAATTCTGCTTACATAACCTCCCTGGCAGGCCGTTCTGAAAAAGAGACGTTTGAACAAAAAAGATAAGGTTTGAATTATTCAGGTTGTAGCTGTTATCAGTGATAGATAAAGAGCAGAACAGTAAAGGTCTGTGGCCTGAAACGGCAGTGTGTCGTTACATATTTATAGCAGTATGTCTCCTCAGACGTCCAGATATTTCTCATGGGTTGTAAAGTGTGATAAGTAAACCTGGACTGATTTCGTGCTGTCTACTTCATAGCTTTGCGTTGGATGAATGAGAATCATTGTTCCCCCAGACTGTTCAACTGATCTTCCATCTTGTATCAACAAAGGAAGTCCCTGTGTGGGGGCAATGGTGAAAAGGCCCCCTCGGAGAGAGGTTATGCCAGGTAGAAACCAGATCAGGGAGAGGGCTATTGTTCTGCCAGAAGAGACTCCTCGGGTGATTTGAAAGGCGGAGATGGATTACAAAAGAAGTGTGCTCTGTGCTGACTCACTCTTTTGTGCTCACCGTATTTGCATTTTGCAGTCAGCTGTAGCCTGGTGACTGTCTGGTCATTCCAGTTTTATTCCCCTGTGCCTGTGTGCTGATTGCAATGCAACAGGAAGTAATTAATGCCACCATTGTGATAGATCGGCCTGTTCCAGAGAAGAGTAAACACATTCAATTCTCAGGTAGTTGTGTCTGTTTGAGTTTCATGGTGACAAGATCACAAAACAATGTTTAGTCTAAGATTAAAGGAATAGTTTGAGGAAATCAGCATATTTGCTTTCTTACCAAGAGAAGACAAGAAGATTGATACCACTCTAACTTTAAAGAGTGGTGGCGATCTTCTCATCTAACTCTCTGCAAGAAAGCAAATAAGTATATTTCACAAACTGTTGAACTATTCCTTTATGAAATTCTTCAAAAAGTTTAGTTCACTGCTGATGACCTCAGCAAATTCCTTTTATATAAGGCCTGTAGTCTGCCATTTGTTTGATCACCAACCCTTTCACAATTTTCTACGGTTCTCTATCCGTACAATAACTAACATTGGTGAATCGGTGTCCACAGCTTCAAGCATTTTTCATCTGTAATTTTAGGATGCAGTGGGCTATTCAAGGCTGGTGCAGTGTGGGAGGTCTCTGTGGCATTTTCAGAGAAGTAGAAAGAACTTCCCTCATGCACACACAAATGCACACACACACTTTTTTTATTTTATTTTTTTATACCTAAAGTCAAACGCTGGTGGTGCCGAGACAAATGGCCTCCTGGCAGCGATAGCATGGAAAACCGTCTCCATGTTAGAATATGAAGATGTGGGCAAATAAAGTGGCTGCATTTCTCCCTCGATAGACCCGATGTGTAAAAGTTTCTTACCATCATCAAAGTTGTTGCTGAAAGTACATTTGGGGGACATGTGCAGTGCTTTTGAGAACATTGGAATAAGAAGTGGTAAACACATTGTCTGGAGTAAAAGGGAACAAAAGGCCGGCAGGAAGCCCTTAAAACCAGCCAGCGATGTGAAGTGAATGTAAAGGGAGTGAAAGGCAGCTGTAGGGTCCCACTTTATCAGGTAAATCAGATGCACTTTTGTTGATGGTGCACTTACACCTTCCCGTATTATTTTGAAGAACTCTCTGGGAGGACTTGTTGTCCCTTTGGAAGAATGTAGCCTGAGGTAGTGCACTTCACTCCAGAACGAGCCTTTCAACATCATCAAAAGCAGAGAAAAGCTGCTTTCTCTGTCTAAATAAGATGTTTTTTGTGTCCTTTTATCTGTGAGTGCTTTTTGATATTTTCCTTGAGTGCTTATGCAAGAACCACCACAGCACTCGTCGTCTTTGCTAGTCTTTTTCTTGACTGTAATATTAGCCGATGAAGGAGAAAAGGGGAGAATGTTTTCGAGAATAGTCTGACAGACTCAGCACGAAATGGACAAACGGGGGTGAGAATAGCTGCATACAGCCTCCTCAGCACATCATACTTTCATCTTGGAAGAGTGGAGCGCAGCAGAGCTCATCGTAAGTGTAGTGCTGCTCTACAGGGGGGGGGGGGATCTAAACACAGCCTCTCTGATTTAGAAGCTGGAACTGAGCTGTCGCCAGCCTCCCACCAGAGCTGGCATGTTGGATGGCTGTCTGGCTGCTGTTGATGGGGGAGGGAGGAGGGAGGGAGGGAGGGAAAGATGTTGCCAAAGGAGCAAAAGGCCACTAACTGCTGCAAAATCAAACACCAGAATGAAACAAAAGCTGGGTGGATGTGTGTGCCAGTGTGCTGATAGAAAAAAAAAAAAAAAAAAAAAAAAAAAAAACACATTTGAATTTTAAAATTGCTTTATTTATCTACTCAAAGGTACTATTAAACACGTACGGACGTATCAATACGATTTACTACCGACAAAAACACTACAAACGGGACAGAAAGAGCTTAGAGGCACAAAACTCCAAAGCCCATATAAAGCTGAATATCTCCATACTGTCCACTGTTTGATGATAGGCATCTCTCTGTTCTGTTCTGTCATCTGCCACCCCCCCCCCCCCCCCCCCCCCCCCCCTGCAGGACCTGCACTGGATCTGTGCCAACACCCTGAACTTTAGTCTTTTCTAGTTGTCCAAATGGGCAACTTAGCCCATCCAGATAGGAAGTTTACTGCAACATTTACGTCCAAAAATGTATACATCAAATGTAAAAGTACTTACAAATTCTGAAACCACAGGGGAGACTGCGGCTCAGTGGTAGAGCAGCTTCGTCCTTCAGTCAGAGGATTGGTGGTTCGATCCCCGGCTCCTTTAATCCATGTCAGTGCGTGCTTTGGGCAAGACACTTAAGACACTTAACCCCGAATTACTCCCACAGACTGTTGCGGCGGTGTGTGATTAGTGAATGATTAGTCGTGATGGGCAGGTGGCACCTTGCATGGTAGCCCCTGCCATCAGTATATGAATGGGTGAATGATGACATGTAGTGGTAAAGCGCATTGAGAGATTAGAAGACTAGAAAAGCGCTGTTCATGTACAGTCCATTTACCATTTACAACTAAAAAAGCACATGCCCTAAAGCACTGCAAAAATGTACGTCAATGTCACTTTGTAAATGACATCACCTTTTTTAGTATTATAGGATTAGATCCTGTACTTCAGTAACAGTAGAAATACAACAATATAAAAATACTCCAGTATAAGTAAAGTTCCTGCATTTTCAAATTG